ACATCCGCCCCCAGGGTGAGGGCGGGCCCCGTCCCCGCTCCCCCCTCCGCCCCCCCTCCGCCCTCCGACCCCCTCTCCCGGCGGAACGCGCGGCTTCGGGGGGCCCCCGACCCCCCGAAACCGCCACCTCCGAAGCCGACTGTATGCCGCCGTCGGCCCCGGGGCTTGAACCGGGGGCAGCTCAAGGCTGGCGCCGTGCCGTCTGAGACGCAGCTCCGCGCCAGCCTTTCGCGGCCGAGGCTGGCTTCGAACCGCCAGCCCCCGAGCTCGGCCTCCCGAGCAGCTGGGGTTCCAGGCGGCGCCCTGCCGGCACCGCCCGGGGTGGGGCGGGCGCGGGCGCGGCGGGGGGGGGGGATGCACCGCCCGACCTTCCCTCCGCAGAGACGATGCTGCACACACCAGGACAACCTCTTCCCGCGCCACCGGAGTTGTAGGGAAGCTCGAGTCCCCGCTCAAGGCCGCCGCGGGGCGAGATGCTGAGCTCCACCGACGACCTGGAGTTTGAGACCGCCGAGAACATCGAGGAGATCTCCCAGCTGTCCGCCCTGGAGCTGTCGGACACGGCCTCCAGCGAAAGAAGTTCAGCCGATACCCCCGAGAAAACTGGTTACCCGGACTCTGTGTACGTGACGGCGGCGAACGTGTTTCGGGGTATTCGAATCGAGAAGTCGCCAGACAAAGCCATAATCAAGTACGGGAGCGAACCCCTGCAGTCCCTGCCCCAGTATGAGGACGAGTCCTTGCAGCGTTTGTCCTACGAGCTGGCGTTCAGTACCCTTAAGTGTGAGTAGCCGTGCCGGCCCGGGGAGGAGGGGGTCCGGGGCTTTGGCCGGCGGCACCCAGCACTGGAACCAGCTAGCTTCCTGTTGTGTGTGGGACCGTGCATTCCCTGCCTTGACGTAGGTGTAAGTGCACGGGCGTTAACAGGCTCGGGAAGCAGCCTGGACGAGGAAGAGAACAAGAGTTCAATGGAGAATCCGGTTTAAACTCCTCGCCTATGTATTTGCATCGCACCCTTGTGTAATTTCACTTTGTATGTTTGCTTGAGTTTTTCACACACATAAGACCATTGGGGGAGTGTGGAAAGAGGAATAGAAACGAAATAAAAAGTGCAATATGAATATATTTTTAAAAGGAAGTACCAGGACTGGGAGAGATGGTTCAAGGGAGAGCGATTGCCATGAGTTCAAATCCTAGTGCAATCAAGAACAAAACAAGCAAACATCCCCTTCCCTCACCCCCCCAAAAAAACAAAACAAAAAACCTCTTTAAAAGTGAATACCAAAATTAAGTCAATTCCAATCAAGATGTTCCTATTCTCTAGCTAACAGCTTTAATTTAGGGAGTCAAACCTTGGTAAAAATTTAACTTTCTAATTTCTCTGGAGAGTTCCAGACTTGAATTTCCAGAGCCAGTAATGTTAGTTAACAACTTGGGAATGTAAAGTTGACTCTGGGATAACTGGCTGTTCTTCCTGGGAGGAGAGCCCCATTCCAGAAATGTTTGGAGTGTTGCTGCATAGCTGAAATCATCAACTTGTTGCTTCCCAGAGACACCCTGAAAAGGGCAAAAGCCATTTGCAATTTCCTTACTACAGTACTAGTACAAGTGCTACTGGCACATCTCTGCACCTAGAAAGCAGAGAACAATTGTCAGTTGACTTGAAAGGTTCCATTGATTATTTAGTTGTCTTCAGAGATGGCTGGAAGTAATTCCAGTTTTCATCTCTTTTCTTTTGCTCATGACTTCTTTTTCTTAAGTCTTAACTATTTTTTCCGTTTCTAGTTGAAGCTTTTGGATCTTCATTCTTCACCCACTCTATCAGCCATACTATCTCACTTTACACCAGAAGAGTCAAATGAAGATTTTTACACTTTCTCCTTTTAACACTGCAATGCAGCCTGGCAGCTTTGTTGATTATTTGGTATTTACTGTTAGAGTTCTATACAGATAATTTACTTTCCTAATAGGATAGTGACTTTTTTCTTTAGAAATAAATAGTAAAAGCCTGAATTATTCTATTTACAATTAATGCATTAAGTAGATTTGGGGAGCCAATCATAAGAATTCTCCTTTCTAATTTTCAGAGTCCTTAGTGGTGGTTAATTTTCAACTTTTTTTTTTTTCTTTTTGTCAGTCGTGGGGGCTGAACTCTGGGCCTGGGTGCTGTCCCTCAGCTTTTCAGCTCAAGGCTAGCATCCTACCACTTGAGCCACAGTGCCACTTCCAGCTTTTTTCTGTTCTGTAGTGCTGAAGAATCGAACCCAGGGCTTCATGCACTCAAGGCAAGCGCTCTACCACTGAGCCACCTTCCCAGCCCAGTTTTCAACTTCTGAGTATAGAGTTTGACTGAATGTGGCTGCATTATAGAGATGTGTATAGTATATTATTTTCTTCCTCTTTGTGTGTGTGTGTGAGAGAGAGGGGGGAAGAGAGACAGACAGACAGACAGAGAGACAGACAGAGAGGGAGGCAGGGAAAGACAGAGAGAGAGGGAGGGGAGAGAGAGGAATACTGGTGTTGAAACTCAAGGCCTCTCTCTGCTAGGCAGACATTTGAGCCTTGTCAGCAGCCTTTTTGCTTTAGTCGTTTTTCAGGTAAGGGATCATACTTTCGCTTAGTCTAGCCTGGGCCTGAGGTGACAGGCATGGCCCTATGCCTGCCTTTCTGTTGAAGTGAGGTCTAGCTGTTCTGCTGAAGTTGGCCTTGAGCTTTGATTCTGCCAGTCTCCACCTCCTAAGTAGCTGTATTACAGATGTAAGACAGCCTATTTTTATGAAAGGATCTTAAGACTATTTGATCTTTATGACCAAAAACATCTTATTCAGGTAAATCCATAGGCTTTACAAACCTGCTTTTCCTTGAACAAAATGTTCTTTTTAAAAATAATTATCAGCCAGGCGCCGGTGGCTTATGCCTGTAATCCTAGCTACTAAGGAAGCTAAGATTTGAGGATCGAGGTTCAAAGCCAGCCCCGGCAAGGAAAGTCTGTGAGACTCTTATCTCCAATAAAACAACCAGAAAACCGGAAGTGGCCCTGTGGCTCAAGCGGTAGAGCGCTCGCCTTGAGCTGAAGAGCTGAGGGACAGCGCCCAGGCCCAGAATTCAAGCCCCATGACTGACAAAAAAAATCAAATTATGTATTATATATAATTATATATATTGATATATCAAATTATAAAATTAGATGGTGCTGGTTGGTTACTTGTCTGAAAGTATTTTATTTTATTTTATTTTCTTGGATCCGGTCATGGGGCCTGAACTCTGGACCTGGGCGCTGTCCCTCAGCTCTTCAGCTCAAGGCTAGCACTCTACCACTTGAGCCACAGCGCCACTTCCGGCTTTTTTCTTTTTTCTTTATGTGGTGCTGAGGAATCGAACCCAGGGCCTCATTTTTGGTCAGCCGTGGGGCTTGAACTCTGGGCCTGGGCGCTGTCCCTCAGCTCTTCAGCTCAAGGCGAGCGCTCTACCACTTGAGCTACAGCGCCACTTCCGGTTTTCTGGTGGTTTATTGGAGATAGGAGTCCCACGTTCTCTCCTGCCCGGGCTGGCTTTGAACCGCGATCCTCAGATCTCAGCCTCCTGAGTAGCTAGGATTACAGGCGTGAGCCACCGGCGCCCGGCTTGAAAGTATTTTAATAAACAGAGAACTGGTGGCTCACACCTACTAAGGAGGTTGAGATCAAGAGGATCAAGGTTCAAAGCCAGCCCAGGCAGAGAGGCCCAGTGAGGCTCCCCCCCCACCCAAATCCTGGGACTTGAATTCAGCCTGGGCACTGTCCCTGAGCTTCTTTTGCTTAAGGCTAGCACTCTACCACTTGAGCCACAGCACCACTTCTGGCTTTTTCTGTTTAAGTGGTACTGAGGAATCAAGCCCAGGGCTTCAATGCATGCTAGACAAGGACTCTACCACTGTGCAACATTCCCAGCCCCCAGTGAGACTCTATCTCCAATTAGCCTCAAGAAACCAAAAGTGGTGCTGTGTCTCATGGTAGAGTGCTAGCCTTGAGCAAAAGGAGCTCACAGACAGTACCCTAGCCCACAGTTCAAGCCCCAGGGCTGCCCTCCCCCCAAAAGTATTTCAATAATATTTTGTTTTAAATGCTCATTACAGTAATTTTTAGATATTCAGAAAGAATAAAGTCAGAATTCTGGAGGTTGGTGGTATGGTCTAGGAGCCGAGCATGTATGTTTAGCATGTGCTAGGCTTTGGGTTTGATCTCTCATCATTGGAAAATAATAGAAATTCGAATACAGTACATTTTCCAACATAACTAAAAACTAAAAATATTAGAGACTTTTGCACATTTCAACTTTATTTGCTGTAATCAGTGAATACTGCCACTTGGTGTTTTATAAATTCATATGTCTCATAAACTTTAGGTTCAAGGACCATAGTTTAGAAAATTGGAGATATTTTGCCTTAGGGTCTTTCATAGGAGCAATACAGCTATGAATGTTATTAAAGAATGCATGGAGCCTGGCATCAGTGGCCCATTCCTGTAATCCTAGCTACTCAGGAGGCTGAGATCTGGGGATCATGTTTAAAGCCAACCTGGGCAGGAAAGTCTGTGAGACTTATCTCCAGTTAACTACCGAAAAGCTGACAATGGCACTGGGATAGAGAGCTAGTAGCCTTGAGCACAAAAATCTCAGAGACAGGGCTGGGAAGGTGGCTCAGTGGTAGATCGCTTGCCTTGCATGCATGAGGCCCTGGGTTTGATTCCTCAGAACCACATAAGCAAAAAGAAAAAAGCCGGAAGTGGTGCTGTGGCAGAGCGCTCGCCTTGAGCTGAAGAGCTGAGGGACAGCGCCCAGGTCCAGAGTTCAGGCCCCACGACCGGACCCAAAAAAAAAAAAAATCTCAGAGACAGTGTCCAGGCCGTGAGTTCAAGCTCCAGGATTCATATTCTCTCTTTCCTTCCTCCCTCCTTCCCGCCCCCCACCCCAGGTGTTTGGCTAATAGTTCTCTTTGTTAATTAGATCCCATTGCCATATTTTGGGGGGCAAATAGAAACAAAAAATTAACAACATCTTGCAGTTTAACAACTACCAAGTGTATAGCTTTGGCTGTGTTTAGTGCTTTTCAGATGTTGTTTTTCTTCTGCTGGTACTCTGGTTTAAATTCAGAGCCTCAAACTTAGTTTACTTAGCTAAAGCCTATCATTTGAGCCATGCCTCCTTCCTGGCTTGCTGGTTAGTTTGGAGATGGAGTCTAGTGAAATTTCAGCCAGGGCTGGCCTGGATTGTTTAGCTCTCAGCTTTGTGAGTAGCCATGGTCACAGGTGAGTCACTGGCACACCCAGTTAAGATACTACTTTTTAAAAAAATGTCAGGGCCTGGGTGCTGTTCCTGAACTCTTTTGCTCAAGGTTAGTTCTATACCACTAGAGCCCAGCTCCACTTGTGGTGGTAACTGGAGATAAGAGTGTCACACACTTTCCTGCCCAGGTTGACTTTGAACCATGGTCCTCAGATCTCAGCCTCCTGAGTACACGTGTGAGCCACTTGCACAGGGTGATACTCTCCTCTTGAACTAGAGACTTGCTCACATCTCCAGGGCACAGCTGTCGGAAGCTCTGCAGTGCAGCGTGCCCCCTACACACCCACTGGCAGAGAAGGGAATGGAGAGATGTGCACACTCTTTCTTTCCCTTCACCCAGTGAAACTCAGTTATCCTTTCCTAGGGAGAGTGAGGCCAGGAGGAATGGGGTAAAGTTCATTTTGGTAGTAATTACTGGGAGTGGGGGGGGGGTGTAACTGGAATTATTGGGCTGCATTCTGGAAAAGGAAAGATTTTCAACCTGCTAATTTAGGTAAGGCATTAGCAGTGTGCTTTACTTGGCTACTTACACAGGCTTGTTACAGGACTAAGATGAAGAAAGGCACCACAGTGTCATGGAGAAGAACATGAATTTGCCGTACTCTGTGGGGTTGAGTCGCTTATCTGCCTCTTGCTGTGTACTGTGTAGTCAATTATTCTGTGCTTTGTTTCCTGTAATAGGATCATTGTGGAAGATGAGGTGAATTAATATATGAAAAGCCTTCAGAACAACTTCTAACGCATATAAATTTTAGATGTACAAGGATAAAGCTTTGTACATAATACTAAATGTGATCCAGAGGCGTTAACTGTTTTGACAAGAGCCCTAGATACTGAATGTAGTCTTGGTAAAATCACAGCCTATTGTCCTCCATTCAGCTTGTGCTTGGCAGTGTGCCCTTGCAAGTCTGGCATGTTGACGGCAGCTTATGATGACTTCGTTTTCTGTAACATATTTGGAGTTTACTCTGGGAATTATGAAGCTGATAGCAATTGGTTTGCAGTGCTAAGGGTGTGAAACTCTGAACTTCATTTTCCTTATAAGAGATATGCAACTCTTACCTTGTATGGTACCTCCATAGTTGGGGACTAAAATATAGAGATATCTATATTTAGATATTTAGTTATATATGTTACCTATCTATATTTTAGTCCCCAACTATGGATGTACCATACAAGGTAAGATTTGCTATGAATCTTGTAGTTTCTGCTCTAAATTAATTTTTCACTTCCCAAATAAGGAATGAATGAATGTACATTGCATAATAGGTTTTCCATGAATATTGAATGAATTGAAGCTGGCCTTTGATTTCATCCCCCCCCCCCCATACATAAATGCTGAGGAGGTGGATTTTTGTTGTTGTTGTTTGCTTCTTTTGGTCATGGAGCTTTAACTTAGGGCCTGGGTACTGTCCCTGAGCTTTTTCACTCAAGGCTAGTATTCTACCATCTTCAGCCACAGCGCCACTTCTGGTTTTCTGGTGGTTAGTTGGAGATAAGAGTCTCATGGACTTTCCTGCTCAGGTTGGCTTTGAACTATGATCCTCAGATCTCAGCCTCCTGAGTAGCTAGGACTACAGGGGTGTGCCACCAGTACCAGTTCACATTAAAGTCTTTACTGGGCAACCCCTTTGTCACTTGCATTTAAGATTAACTGCCATATCACTAGAGAGCTCTGTCAAATACTTGTTAAAGACAAGCCATTTGCTGGGCTCTGGTGGCTCACACCTGTACTCCTAGCTACTCCGCTCTGGTGGCTCACACCTGTACTCCTAGCTACTCCTGAGTCTGAGATCTGAGGATGGCACTACAAAGCTGGCTGGGACAGCAAAGTCCATAAGACTCTAATCTCCAGTTAGCTATAAAATCATCAACAAAAACAATAATGCTGGAAGTAGAGCTTTGGCTCAAGTAGTAGTATTAACCTTGAGCACAGGCCTTGAGTTTAATCCCCAAGACTGGCAAAAACAAAACCAAAAACAAGTAGCAGCAGCATCAGCAACAACAACAACCCCCAATCCAAACAGAGACTGTTGCTGGGGAAGAGGGAACCCTGCCCCTTCATCTCCACAGGGCAGCAAAGCCCTTAATCCTGATACCAGCCAAGCCCTTAATACCAAACCAACAAGGACGAAACTACCAACACTTCTCACACCTAAACAGAGAACAACAATCCTAAGGAATCTGCAAATTAAAATCCAGCAATACTTCAAAAGACTATGAGAAGCCGTGCCTAACAATATTAATTAGAACCTCTCTAATACCTTCTAAAGGCCCTAAATTCAAGGTCAGAATTCCTTTCTGATCACTTTGATTGTTCAGATAACAACGCTTTGTCATTCCCTGTGGAGCCTGGGCCTTCATAAAGATTCCAACGTCACCTAAATCTTCATTTACAAGCTTTGTTATTTCTGATACCAGACCTCTCCCATTTCTTGCAGATCAAGATATTTTGGAAAGTATATTAATAGACAGCTATATCTTCCCAAGTACCACAATAGTAAGTATACAATGTTTAGAATTAACTTGTCACATGATTATTTTTTACAAAATCTTAAAGAACCTAAAGATTTAAATAAAACCAGTTTGCTTAATACTGAGGCTTCTTCAAAACATGGACTCTTTTCTACTTTTTATTCTTCTGATACTGACCCTTGTCTTTTCCATTTGATGAACATGTCCCAGATTATCTTTTTTGTAGGTTTTTCTTAATATATATTTATGTAAGCTGGACTCTCCCACTCCTATCTGACAACCTTAACCAGACTATATAAAAATAAAAATGATCATGTTCCCACATTGTTATGAAAAATAACGGGCTGTAAAATATCGCTGTTGAATGTTGTATACTTTTCTTTGTACGTTTCCCTGTTATATGTTAGCCAGATCATTTGAGCAGTCTTATTGTTGTGATGCTATATGATTTCCAAGATAGAAAGTTCCAAAATCGTGTTATTACTGATAATGAAGAGTCCATAGCGGAAGTTCAAGAAGTAGAGAACCTTCTTAACAGGTAATTGTACAAGTGAAATAGACCTTAGTGTGTTTGGTAAAGTTGTATACATTATAACTTGCAGCTGTCTACAAATGTTACAAATTTATTGAGGAAAAAAACCCCTGACTTCTGTTTAAAATTAAATTGCTTAAATTTTTTTTAATTAAAAAGCTTCAATAGGAAGATCTACATATAAGCATGTAGGAAATCATTAAAGTGTATAATATTTCTAGCATATAAATTAAACTTCATTTGCAGTTTTTGTTGTTGTTTTTTTTTTCTGTTGGTTGTGGGCTTTGAACTCTGGGCCTGGGCCGCTGTCCCTCAGCTCTTCAGCTCAAGGCTGAAGGCTCTACCACTTGAGCCACAGCGCCACTTCTGTTTTTGTGGTGGTTAACAGGAGGTCAGAGTCTAACAGATGTTCCTGCCTGGGCTTGCTTTGAACCATGATCCTTGGATCTCAGCTTCCTGGGTAACTAGGGTTATAGGCGTGAGCCACTGGTGCCCAGCTATTGTTTGTTTTTTAAAAATACCTACCATACTTGCCATGTATCAAATGAGAAAATCCCAACCCTAGGAAGAAAACTCACTATTTTGCCAGATTGGAAAAAAAATCTATTTTGTTAAGAACTTTATTTTGTCAGTCATGAGGCTTGAACTTAGAGCCTGGACACTGACGCTGAGCTTTTGTGCTCGTGCTAGCACACTACCACTTGAGCAATGGCTCCATTTCCAGCTTTTTTGGTGGTTAATTGGAGGTAAGAGTCACATGGACTTTTCTGCCAAGCTGGCCTCAAACTATGATCCATAGCTCTCAGCTTCCTGAGTAGCTAGGATTACAGGCATGAGTCACTAATGCCCAGCTAATTTTTTCTTATTACTATACATTAGTTGTACAAGGGGCAGGTTCATGGTGGTATCTCCATCCACATACACATGCATTTCAATGGTCTTAGCCCATCACTCTCCCTTAGGGGTAGTTAAAAACTCCCTTTTGAAGAGTCAGTGAACTTATATATGCAGTGTCTTTAAAGCATTTTTTTTTTTTTGGTTGGTTGTGGGACTTGAACTCTGGGCCTGGACACTGTCCCTCAGCTCTTCAGCTCAAGGCTAGCGCTCTACCACTTGAGCCACAGCGCCACTTCTGGTTTTCTGGTGGTTAATTGGAGATAAGTCTCACGGTCTTTTTTGCCTGGGCTGGCTTTGAACTGTGATTTTTAGCTCTCAGCCTTCTGAGTAGCTAGGACTACAGGTGTGAGCCACTGGCGCCCGGCTTAGAGCACATTTTAACAGAAACAGTTCTATTTTCTACTTCAACCATGTACTTTCTCATAGACCCCTCCTTCTTACATGTACCCATCCATTCCCCCAACAAAGCCTGTTTTAGTTTCCTGTGGTGCTTTGTTTTTTCATGTGTACTAAAATTGCACCAGGGGTTTTCACCATGATATTTCAGATGTGTATAGACTGCTCAGAATAACCCTCTGTTCATACCAAACACCATGAAGCCTACAAGGAGAGAAGTTCCTGCCTCAAAGCGTAGCAGGGAGAACTCATTAAACTAGTGCATGTAAAATGCTCAGCTTCAAAGCAGACACTTAGTGTTCCAGAAATGATCAGTGTTACTGTGTGTGGGCGACGTCACCTCTGATGTAGCAGCACTGGGAGGTGTGCGGGCTGTGCAGCTTTGTCCCCTTGAATAGATTAGCGCGGTTGCTGAAGGGCGTGCAGGAGCGGGTTTGTTCTCTTGCACTTTGCCCTTTGCCAGCAGCCACAGATGGCTTAGCAGGGACCCCTCACCAGATGCCAGCGCCCTCCTCTCCTGCCTCCTGAACTGTGAGAAACAAACTGCTTTCTTTATAAATTCCTCCAGTCTTCAACATTCTCGTAGCAGCACAAACAAGATGAAGACGTGGGTGACTCTAGCTTTTGCTATTATGTTGTTGAAGTTTAATAGAAAGCAAGATAGAGCAACTAAAGTCCTTTAGGAAGATTTTTACCTCGTGAATAGTCTGAAATAATGGTCACAGTAGTATGATGTCTCATTTCATGTTTTTATGGGCAGTAGTCCAAGCCATTAAAATGATTGAAGGCTGAGGCCATAGCACGCATGAGGTACTCTTACTCTGATACATTAACGATGTGACACACGCATAGCTCATGTATGTGATAGCCAGGAGAAATTATGGGATGGGGCAGAAAAAGCCATTACATATATTCACTGTTAGACCAGTGAAGACCCAGCGCCTGCTTGCTATTTTTTTTTTGTGGGGGGGGAACCTACCTCCTGGGATAGACATGTGAGTTAGGTACAGAAAGTTTGGTAGAACAATGTGCTGTGGGACAGGCTCTCAGTTTTAATCCTCCTGAGCTTCTCTCAGTTTTTGTTGGCTAATCAAGACTTAGTAGGCTGTCATGGCCATATTAACTAGTCTCTGAGGGGCTAATGAGAGCTGGGGTTGGGTTGAATCAGCCAGAAAAGCGATAGGGCTCTAACCAAGTAAAGACCTGACTGTGGCTTCATCAGCAGGAAGCTAGCTAGCAATTCAAGGCAAGCAAAGGACATGGCCTAGGCCAGAGAGACTGAACATACTACAGCTTACAAGTGCATGGACTCCCCACAGTGCTCGCTCTCCTCCTGCTCCCACAATGCTGTCCTCCCTCTGGCCATAACAGATCTGGTTATGCTCCTGTGAGTGCAGCTGGTCCACTTCTTCACATGTCACACCACCACAGTCTTATCACATGGACTCCTGTCATACATTCTTCACCATGTGCTTTCTACAAGGAAAGGAGTGCTTTTTTGTTTTGTTTTTTTAATTGCCAGTCCTGGGCTTAAACTCAGGGCCTGGGTGCTGTCCTTGAGCTTTTATGCTCAAGGCTACGTGCTCTACCACTTGAACCACAGCTCCACTTGTAGCTTGTTTGGTGGCTTATTGGAGATAAGAGTCTCATGGACTTTTCTGCCTAGGCTGACATTGAGCCATGATCTTCAGATCTTAGCTTCCTGAGTAAGCAGGAGCTTCCTGAGTAGGCATGAGCCACTGGCCCCAGGACAGTTAGAATGCTTTTTAAAAATGTAATTATATGGTCATGATAGTCTTGGATTAGACTTGTCCTACTACAAGCAACTGAAAAACTGGATCAGATCCATCAGGTAAAGATTTTGAGTATTAGATCTCTGAGATCTAATCAAGATCTGAGATCTTGATCTCTGAGAACATGAAATAAACAAGCTGAGCCCCAGAACAGCCTTGGCTTTCTGACTAGAGGGTCTTTCCAAACTGCAACGCAGGAAGTAGAAAATGGTAGTTCTGCTGAGATATGAAAACAACTGTATTTTCAAAGGTTGATGATCTTTCTTTCTTTTATTAAGTGGGGAAATACTTTGAATGATTTATGAATGTCAAACTACATGAAGATGAATCACATTTACTCACATAGGTTCTTTTTGTGGCTCATGACTTTAATCCAAGCTCCTTGAGAGGCAGAGGTCAGGAGGATCAAGATTCAAGGCCAGCATAGACAGAAAGTCAGTGAGACCCCTATATTAAACAAGCTGGCCATGATAGTGCAGAGTCTGTAATCCCAGTCATGAGGGAGGTGTAGATAGGAGGATTGTGGTCATCAGCTGTCTGGGGCAAAAAGCATAAGACCTTATATCTAAGCAAAAATTTTAAAAAGGTAAATCAGAAGTGTGGCTCTAGTGGCAGAATGCTTGCAAGTGTAAGGTCCTGAGTTCAAATACTAGTACCACCAAAAAAAAAACAAATCTAAATGTGCTAATGTTAGTGTTTCTAATGGAGAATTGAATCTTGTTTCAAATACAATAATCATCAAGAATAAATTCTCTATCTCTAGCTTTAAGACGAAATTGGCCGCAGCATTGGCAAGATGTCGAATCAAACATGATGCCCTTTCAATATACCAGATTCTGCCAGAAGAAGTTAGGAAGCAGGAACTAAGGGCTTCTACTCTGCCACTTTATGCTTGGATAAATACCTGTAAAGTCAGGTAAGAGTTTTAATCAAATTCTTTGCTCATAGTTTAAGCCTCCATCTTCTACATATAGTACTTTTGCTGGGTGCTGGTGGCTTATGCCATACTCTTAGCTATTCAGCAGGCTGAAATCTTGAGGCTCACGGTTCAAAGCCAGCCTGGATAAGAAAGTCCATGAGTCTTCAGTTAACCATCAAAAAAAAAAAAGTTGAAAGTGGGGCTTTGACTCAAGTGATAGAGCACTAGCCTTTAGCAAAAAGCTCAGGGAAAACACCTAGACCCTGGGTTCAAGCCCCAGGACTGGCAACAAAAAAAAAAACAAAGCAAAACACAAAAACCCCAAAACAATCCCTGTCCCCCAAGAAACATTACTTCTTTTAGCCAAGTGCAGATGGCTCACGCCTATAATTCTAGCTACTCAGGAGACTGAGATCTGAGGGTCAAGGTTTGAAGTGAGCCTGTGCAGAAAAGTCCATGAAACCCCATTTCCAATTAACCAGCAAAATGCCTGGCTCAAGTGGTAAAGCTTCATGGTGGGGGGGACACATCTAGAGGAATGGAATGACAGGGTGTGAGCCATCGTGCTAGCTGTTAGTTGAGAAGAGGTCTCACAGGCTATATTATTTTTGGCTAAAATTGTAAGTTCTATAAAATGCAACGTATGCAGTGAGTTTTTTGTTCCAGGAAAATTTATTAATATTAATTAATATTAAATACATGTTAATGTATTACCTTTGTAATTATACCCTACTGTGTATTTACAGCCCTGAACATGTTTTTAGCACTTTGAAGAAGAAAGGCTATAACAGAGTCAAATCTGTACTACATATTGATGGAAAAGTCTTTGCTGTGGACCAACACTGCTGTGATGTCTTAATTTTTCCCTCCCATCTTAAAAATGATCTAATCAATACAGATCTATTCAAAGAGTACAAACTTATTTTTCAGGTAAACTATTATTTACTTTCTGAACCAACCCTACTTTGTCAAAGACTCCCTCCACCTAAGAGTAAAACCTAATCCTTTATGTTTTTATGGCGTATCAGAGAGGTTTCTAAGACCAGAACATCTCCTGTGCTGGCTACGCCCGGGCTCCTGCTGGACCTGGGCATTGTAGTGTCACATGCAGTCATAAAGTACACGTTCATCTCCATACTCAGAGGGAGCGTGCTGCCAGCAGAAAGGCTGTAGTTTTTCCTTCCTAATGGAGGACTTGAGAAGCGACAAGGGGACCTTTTCCTTCCATGGAGGAGATCCTAGCACCGTCCTGCATATGCAAATGCAGTGTAGAACACTTCTCTCTCCCATTCTTTCCAATATGGCCTTTATATAGTGCAATACAGGAAGAGGATATGCGACAGAATGGTCCAAATAAAAGATGCTGAATTCATACATATATCCTTCCATTACAATTCTTGCCTGAGATCCACTGAAGTCTTCTAAGGCTTCTCCTTCCCCGCCCGCACGTTCCTGCACAGAATCTCTTACCTGGTCAAGCACTGACAGCGGCCGCAGAGGTGTGGCAGGCCTGCTCTGACAACTGTCATTTGAATCTCTGTGACCAGCAGCAGTCATGGCAGATGAAGGATTTTCATCAAGGGGCAAGAATGGGAGCTAAGACAAGGCATTACTAATCTATTCATTCTACTTACAGATTTTTATTATGGCCTTACTGCTAGTCAAAAATTACATGTTAGTCATAGTTCTTACTGAACAGCTGAGTACTTTATTATTAATAAATTAGCTATCTTTGTTACCTCTTATTTAGACATATTTATTTAGTTTTAAACTTAAAGGGATGAGATACTGCTGTAAGAGTTCTACTTAGAATTTTCTTTTGTCTAAAGCAAGAAATCTGCTTTTGTCTCTAATCATGCCTTTGAAATTGTAAACATACTATTTATTATCTTATAGGACAAATCTCGAAGTCTTGCTGTCCATTCTGTAAGGGCTTTATTAAATATGGATGATGATATCTTAATGGTCAATACAGGTTCATGGTACACAGTTGCTCATATGTCAATCTTAACAAGCAATAATACCACAAAGGTCTTCGTATGTGGAGTACAGTCACAAGCTAAAGATCCCGACCTGAAGAAACTTTTCACAAAAATGGGATGTAAAAGTATGTATAAATATTTTTTTGGTGATTACTAGTTCAAAACATTATAGGAAATTTAAAATGTTTGAATTTATTATTTTTTTTGTAATGGGAACTTTTTTTTTGGTTGGTTGTGGGATTTGAACTCAGGGCCTGGGCACTGTCCCTGAGTTCTTTCACTCAAGGCTAGCACACTACTATTTTGAGCCACAGTTCCACTTGAGGCTTTTTTTTTTTTTGGTGGTTAACTGGAGATAAGAGTGTGTGTCACAGACTTTCCTGCTGGCTTCTAACCACAATCCTCAGAGCTGAGCCTCCTGAATAGCTAGGATTATAGCGGGAGCCACCAGTACCTGGCCCTGTAATGGAAAATTTTTATGTGTGAACTATGCTCATTAATTTATGTCAGGCTCTTAATGTTGAATTAAAGTATCTTGGTACTTTTGAATTGATATTTAGCTCTGACCTAATTTGAGGTCTTGAACATATGTAGTTGCTTTCCATTGGATAGATAAAATCATATCCACACTAGGCACTGGTGGCTTACACCTGTAATCCTAACTACTACTCAGGAGGCTAAGATCTGAGGATTATGGTTCAAAGCCAGCTCAGGCAGGAAAGTTTGTAAGACTCTGATCTCTAATTAACCACCCCAAACCAGAAGTGGAGCTATGGCTTAAGTGGTAGAACACTATAGCGTTGAGCAGGCCTTGCCTGCAGGCCCTAGTTTAAACCCCAGGATTGGCACACACACAAACAATTGCTCTCCCCCACCCCCATGTTCATATGCAAAGATCACATTTTGTTATTGGTTCAATGAGGCTGACTAAGTAAAACTTTGATATAGTCACAGAACCAGAGAGACAAAAGTGGAGTTCAGGGTCTGTCCAGGAGATGTGGCCTGATATATCTGCGAGATTTCACTTGGAACACAGAGGCATGACCTGGATAGTGATCACATGCGTCCTCAGTCCTTCGAAGAGCTGGAGCCCAAATTCCAGGCATCTTAATTTCCAAGTGGTTTACGGTGATGAGGACTTCTAGTATCATTGTAAAGATCCAAAAGAGAATTCTAGAACTAAAAAAATACAACACTTAACATTAAGAAATAAATGAGACTGAGGATGTAACCCAATGGTAGAGCATGTATGATGTCCTGGGTGTGAGCTCCAGCACCAAACAAGAAAAAACAAGTGGATGGGGTTAACAGTAAATTAACAAAGCTAAAAGAGAAATGAGAAAACTGATGATCAGGAGAAAGTATCTAGAAGCCTGGAGAGAGAAAAGGATGATTAATAAGAACAAAAGAGTAAGCAGAATCTCAGGAACAGAAGAAAGAAATTGATAAGAAATAATTGAATTTTAAGCTAGGGAGTTTCCAAGGTAGATAAAAGACATTAAGCTTTGGATTCAAGAAGACTTGTGAATACTGATAAGAAGAAATATATATGGCAAATTATGCTATTATATGAATGTTTATTTCCCCATAAAATTCATGTTAGAAACCTAACCCCTCTTTGATTGAAGAATACAAATAAAGATACTTTGTGAATACTGATAAGAAGAAATATATATGGCAAATTATGCTATTATATGAATGTTTATTTCCCCATAAAATTCATGTTAGAAACCTAACCCCTAAATGATTAGTGCTAGAAGGCACTAATGTCTTTGATTGAAGAATACAAATAAAGATACTTTGTGGGGGCTGGGAAGGTGGCTCAGTGGTAGAGTGCTTGCCTTGTATGCATGAGGCCCTGGGTTTGATTCCTCAGCACCACATAAGCAAAAAGAAAAAAGCCAGAAGTGGAGCTGTGGCTCAAGTGGTAGAGCACTAGCCTTGAGCTGAAGAGTTGAGGGACAGTGCTCAGGCCCAGAGTTCAGGCCCCACGACCGGACCCAAAAAAAAAGATACTTTGTGGGCTTTTATTTGTGTGTGTGTGTGAGTAATGGGTACTGAAAGTACTAACCATAAAAGGAAAAAAATTAAAAAACAGCTGGGTGCCGGTGGCTCATGCCTATAATCCTAGCCACTCAGGAGTCTGAGGAACATGGTTTGAAGCCAGCCCTGGCAAGAAAGTCCATGAGACTTTTATCTCCAATTAACTGTTTAGAAAAAGTTGGAAGTGGTGCTGTTGCTCAAGTGGTAGAATGCTAGCCTCAAGCAAAAGAAACCCAGGGACAGTGCCCAGAGTTCAGGCCCCAGGACCTGCAAAAAAATAAAAATAAACAAGTTCTCATTAAGAGAGTACAAAGAAAAATCACAAGAGAGAGGAGGCATGCATGTTGATGAAGAGCTTTTTTTTAAAAATAATCAATGCTGAACAGAGAGTTGTTAAAAATGGACAATAAAAACAAGAGGACAAGAGGAAAGTGTGCAAGAGACATGGCCATATATCTCACAAAAAAAGGTTGTCAGACACCAAAAGGGCATAAACAATCAAACCTCATTAGCACCTGGGAATGCAGTAAAATCACATCTTGCCATGACACACCCACTGAAGGACAAGGTTAAGAAGACGGGCAGGGCTGAATGTTGGCAAGCCAAGGAACATCCGCGATGTGCAGCACTGCTGGTGGAACTGCAGATGGGTGTGACTAGTTGAGCTGAAGTTGAATATGTGCCCACATTATCACCAAGTGTTTCATACCCAGCTTTCTTACCCTTTCCATGTCCTCCATGCATGTATGTTCCCCAAAAGCTATTATAACACTGTTTTCCATCGTGTGGGTTCAGCACCTTAGACTGTACCTCATAAACAGTTTTGATATTTTGGGGTAAGATCATAGGATATAAAAGAGGGTGAGACCGGAAAGGGAAATAAGCAGTACTGAGCACTTATCATGTATGAGATACCATGCCAAACTCTACTCCTGTATCTCAGAGCTCAGCACAATTAGGAAAGCCATCTAATTGATGACTAAAATAGATGAATGAACTAGCGGGCTTCTCTCTGCACACGAGGTGGATAATGAAGTTGGGAGTGAAGCTTGACTGCTTCTGCAGCCCAGTTCCCACATGGCATGCTGCTGCAAGTTCAGCCTGGGGCTGCAGGCGATCAGCCTGCCACTGAGAACGCCATGTTTGTATTTGACAACAATGCCCAAATAAATCCATGTTTAGCAAAATAAGAAATTGAGAAAACAAACTGAAGTTCAGAATTTAAAAAATATTTTTAACTTAAAAATCAGGTTGAAAAAAATCTTCATTAAGAAAATGTCTGTATTTTAGGAATTTATGTCTCTTTTAAAATCCACATTAGACCTACTTTCTGTGAGGTTGAAGACTTTCAAATGAGTAATAAGATATAATAATGCACTTAGATTTTTTATTACTCTTCTGCATTATTTTTTCTCTCCTAGATATTGAAATTCTTCATGAGACATTTGTGAACATTGAAGCCAAGGATCACAGGTTACAGAAAGTCAAAGTGATTTTGCTGCTGCCTCGTTGTTCTGGACTGGGTGTCAGCAACCCCGTAGAATTTATTTTAAATGAACATGAAGGTACTCACATCTTATTTCAGCCTTGTCAAATGCATTCATGATCTAACCCATTGGTTTCTATGTGAGGAAGTGTATCTCTTTTCTGTGCTGGTCTCTGGCAGTTTGTATTCTTCTCTAAATACATGACTGACTACAAGGCCTTGGATGACTTCCCACAGATCTTGGAAGAAAACAATACCTAATGTGCTTAGTACTCTTTTTGAAAACCAGTATGAAAACTGAACATAATGAGCTTCACTAATTTTTAAAATATGAAGTTAGCATTTTGATATAAGTTATTTAATTTTGGTAGGTATTTTTTGGGAAAATTTCTATCAGTAGACAAAATCATTAGAAAATAACATGCAATATGTGGAGAATGGCTGAGAGTGATATAAGTACTCAAATACTTTTTGAAATTTAGATGCAGACTTACTTAAAGATCACTCGCAAGGAGGCACCTCTGAAGATAAGCTTCTGGCTCTTGCTCAGCAGCAGTATGAACAGCTCATACATGCAATGAAATGTAAGTTTCTTATTAGTACTAAGGTGTTAAAACACAGGCTTTATAGCGGAGACATGAACACTCTGTGAGAAAGCAAGGAACAAAATGTCCAGAACATTCAGCCTTAGCATCATTCAAGTTACAAAATAGTTATTTTCATCAATGTAATAATCTAAGTCCTTAAAATATGCCTTTCATTTTGAACAAAGGCTAACAAAGCATAATAACATGCTAAAGTGATTTGTACATCTATAATTATACATCTTACTAATGAATTAAAAACATTTTTTGGTGTTGGTCCTAGAGGTTGAAGTCAGGGGCTGGGTACCGTCCCTGAGTTTCTTTTGCTCAAGCTATCATTCTGCCCACTTGAGCCATAGCTCCACTTTCAGTATTTGTGGTGGTTAGTTGGAGATAAGGGTCTCAAGGACTTTTCTTGCCTGGGTTGGCTTAGAACCACTATCCTCAGATCTCAGCTTTCTGAGTAGCTAGGATTACAGGTGTGAGCCATCAGCACCCAACTGAAATTTTTAAAAATTTGAGACAGGACCTGCTTTGTAGTCCATGCTTGCCTTGAACTCCAGTCCAACCTAAACCTCCAAGTGCTCTGATTATAGGTATGAGCCACCATGCCCAACCTGATGTAAGCTCAATTATAAGGCCAAATTAGCATTCTATTTGGCAATCCTTAATATTATAACCATTTATCCTATTGAAAGATATACTGTAAATTAAGTTGTATAATTTCTCCACAAAACAGGTAAGTAAAGGTCTTACTTAATCAAGGGTTTGACTCCAGATTTTGATGGACATAACTAAAAGTTCCATTTGAAATCAGTCATGTAAAAGATAACTTTGTCCTGTCCTCTTATTGTAAAAATAATCTTTAAAGTATTTGAACACTTACTGATTAAGTAGCAATGGTCCAGGCTCCCCTCATTTCTTTTTTTTTTTAATTTACTTTTATTTTATTTGTGAACATACTGTACAGAGGGGTTACAATTGCATGGGCAGGATAATGCGTACATTTCTTACCAAGCATTGCATCCTCCTCCTTTGTTTACCCTTCACATCCCTTCCCAGCCTCCCTCCTCCCCCTCCCCCCATTTCTTTGATCTCCGAATCCTACAGTGTTGTTACTACTCTCTACCCTGAAATCCTCAGACATACTTAGCATTATGCCCTTTGTCAAGGACTGACTTTGGGACCCGACCCCAGCTCCTTCCCTCCTTCCTGTCCCATCTGTCTTCATCTCCCACTTGGTGCTCTCTAGACTTCATATGTATTCACCAACAAAATCCTCCTCAAACCTCTTCAGTGTTCCTTCCCTTTTTCCTCTTCTGATTTGCCTTTCCCTTAAGAAGTGTTTCTCTGGCTCCCTCCTCCAATTCTCTTTGGAGTCTATCAACGTCACACTCCTGCTGCTAAGCTGAAATGGCCTTGTGAAGCGCTCCAGTGACCCCCATGTTCCCCTCAAACTCATAACGCAACAGTGGCTGCTGGCCCAACCTGTCCCTCCCCCTTCCAGGTCCTGTCTATGCTTACTACAGTCTTAGGCTTATCTTAAACACCTCTGGATGACTCTCGTTTGTATTTCCAGTTCAGTCTCCCCCACACTTCTCTAAAGGCTTCTTTGACATCTCAGTTAGTGACTAAGAGGCATCACTAAGTTACCGGTCCAAAATGGAAGTCCTGGCCCTCCTCCCGGAGTACCCAGTCTTCCCACAGCACTGCCATTTCAGGCAGTGGCAGCAACAGCCAGCCTTTTACTTACTGGGGTGTCATCTACAATTCTTCTTTCATACCCACCATTTGTCTGCTGACAAATGAAGTAAGCTGTACGTTTAGCATGGCTTTAGAATCCAGCACTGCCACTCCCGGGGTCCATCGCATCACCTTACACCTGAATCACTAGAGCTGCCGCCGCACGTTCACCACTGCCCCGTGCTCTCAACACAGCAGCTCCCCATCACAACCAGAGAGAGAACCACAGTCCTTCCAGTGGCCCGAAGCCCCTGTGCTCAGTGGTGACACTGCATTTTCTGAGCTTATTGCCCACTGCTCTTTCTGTATGCCCTCTGATCACATCTCCTTGAACATGCCAGGCCTGCTTTTTTTTTTATACTGTCAGGCCTGAGTGTGTTTTGTTTGTACTGTTTATTGTTTTTTGGACTGAACGAATGACAGAACTGGAAACCATGGGCAGCACTCCATCTAGCCCCTAGACTTCCCCTCCCTGCTGGCTCTACCAACCACAGTCTGTCCTCTACCTCCTTGCTGTTTGCTGAAACTGCCGTGCTTCAGATCGCAGCGCCTCTGAGATGCTCTCTTCCCACCTCTGCTTTTGGCATCTTGTTTTTCTGTTTTTTTTTTTATTTATTTTTTTTGGGTCCGGTCGTGGGGCCTGAACTCTGGGCCTGGGCGCTGTCCCTCAGCTCTTCAGCTCAAGGCTAGCCACAGCGCCACTTCCGGCTTTTTTCTTATGTGGTGCTGAGGAATCAAACCCAGGGCCTCATGCATGCAAGGCAAGCGCTCTACCACTGAGCCACCTTCCCAGCCCCTTGTTTTTCTGTTTATGGCTTATGTCTGCCCTATGCTAGAAGGTCAGCTCCTCAGGCAGGGGTCTGGTGCTCACTGATGCTTCCCAAGGTATTTACCCAGGTTCCTACAGAACTTGGATTCCCATTCCACTGTCTGTTCCCAGAGTCCTTTAAACTAACAGGTAATGTAAGTTGTAGAGAAATGTCTGCCAGCCACACTCATGGTAGACTGTAGTGTGTGTGTGTGTGTTTGGAACTAGGTTGGTCATATTGATGGACTTTTCAATTCTCATAGATCCCCTTGGATTTACTCACTGGCCCAAACCTACCATGCTAGTAGTAGAAGCTTCTGTTTTAAAGGACAGCCACTCAAGCATCTGTGGAAATCATTCCCCTCCAAACCTGGTGGTGTTAGTAGCAAATACGTGTCTGGAAACATTGCAAATTTGCACTGGATTGTTAATGGGGTCATCATTTTAATCACATCTTCTTTAAATATAGTTACTAAGGCCCAAGCAGTTGTATACTGCACATGCTCAGTTTATCCACAAGAAAATGAAGTAGTGGTCAAGAAAGCACTGGAATTTCAAGACCAGGGGATTAAAATACAACCTTACAGGTAAGAAAAAGATGCTATGAAACAACCATCAAATATTTGTGAGTCTAAAAAATAGGATTTTCTAAGTTGTATTAAAGCCCTCCGCTTGCTTTTCATTAGACTTTTATTTCACAGTACTGGGGACTCAGAGCGTCACACTTGCAAGGCAGGCGCTCTACCACAGGAGCTGCCCCTTCAGCTCCTTTGCCTAGGTTATTTTCCAGGTAGGTTTTCGCCAAGACCACCCTGGGCTGTTATCCCTTGACTTGCGCTTTCCTGTGTCAGTGGGGATGACAGGTGGTGGCACTGCACACAGCTCTTGTGCTCGCCACAGCTGATAGCAGAGGTGTGTGCAGCTCACCCGGCCATTCAGTTAGATGGAGTCTCTTAAGAACTTTTTATGCCCAGGCTGGCCTGGAATCATGATCCTCCACTCGCTGCCTCTCAAGTAGCTAAGATTATACAAGTTTGAGCCACAAGGTCTAGCTCAAGTTCTTAGTATGATTTATTTCCCACTTTTTAGTAAAATAGTTTCCTTTTTCCATTTCGTAAGTGGACATGTTAATCACAGTAGCATGTCCTTTCTTGCCGACTTTCCATCCCAGTAGTTTCTGTTGGTGGATAACAGCCAACATCATGCCTTGAAAACGTCTTTATTTTCAAATACTTATACAAAGGGCTTTCAATTGAACATGTCCATTTACGTGTCCAATGTATCTTGATGTCACCTTCATCATGCTACCGTCCCTGAAAGCTTAACATAGCATTGGTGACACTGCCATCTAGTGGCAAAGAGCAGCATTGCAGGCACGTTTGTGAAACAACAGCTATGTTGTGAATATATAACATATTTCTTAACTATTTATGGGGAAGAAAGAACTGAAATGTGATACCGAATTTATGAGAAGCTCAGAATAGACAAAATTGCTTGAAGATTTCCTGTTTTTTAAGAAAAATTCACGTGGACTAGTGTTTATCTGCTTTGGAATATGTTTTAATTCTAAATGTATGGAAATACTAGAATATAAAAAGTACTTACCCATTGGACAGAGACATGACACTGGCCTTTCAAGTGAGAGCCCCAGAGTTCAAACACCAGTGCTGCCAAAAAAACCCTCACTTATCCATCAGTGGGCCTACTAGTAAGCGTGAGATTAAATGTTAACTATAAAAATCAGAATTTTAAGCACATGAATGATTAGAGGTTTGTCTGTTCCTGATGTAAAATCTTTTCCTCTTTCTTTTTTTGGGTCCGGTCATGGGGCCTGAACTCTGGGTCTGGGCGCTGTCCCTCAGCTCTTCAGCTCAAGGCTAGCATTCTACCACTTGAGCCACAGCACCACTTCTGGCTTTTTTCTTTTTGCTTATGTGGTGCTGCGGAGTCGAACCCAGGGCCTCAGGCATGCAAGGCAAGTGCTCCACCACTGAGCCACCTTCCCAGCCCTCTTTTCCTCTTTCTAGTCATTATATAGTTCATTAATACCTCAAAAGTGATGCAATTGAAATTGATATATGTATATAACTCAGGGCCTGGGCATTGTTCCTTATCTGTTTTTGCTCAAGGCTAGCAGTCTACCATTTGAGTCACAGCCTTGCTTCTGGCGTGTGTGTGTGTGTGTGTGTGTGTGTGGTTAATTGGAGGTGAGTCTGTTGGACTTTTCTGCCTGTGCTGGCATTGAACCACAGTCCTCAGATTTCAGCCTCATGTGTAGTTAGGATTATTGGCATGACCCACTGGCACCCAGCTAAGCTTTATTTTTAAATAGGAGCCTACAGAAGAAGCATGTCAGATATTTTGTAGTTGATAATGTGAGAAATATAGGAAGTTTTGAGTTAACAGCCTTGTAGTTACTGTACATGCCTATTTTGATTACACATTAGTAATTTGGTGAAGAAAAGTTCTTTTTTTTTTAATGCCTTCTTTGGCAGTACTAGGATTGAACTCAGGGACTAGGCAGGAGCTCTACCACCTGAGCCATACACCCAGCAGAAGATAAATTTTTAAGTTGTTATTCTTGGCATGGTTATTTCAGGATGGGGATGTGGGAAGTACAGGAAATTGTGAGTTAACATGAAGTAGTAGAGCTCTTAACATGTAGTGTTTCGGATCAGACTGTTTTAGCACTTTTTCTTATGTGAAGGTTTGCTTAAGTGATTGGTAAAACATAATAAAGAAAATTTAGTTTCAACATACTTTCCTCCTCTCTTGAAAAGAAACCATTCTCAGCATCTTAATATTTGCTTATTTGTACCACAGGCTTAGCCCTCCTGTTCTGCCCCTGTGTTCCTTAAGAGATATACATTTGTCTACTGATAAATTTTTCAGAATGGAACCATCAGAAATTACCAATGGTTGTTTTCTTTCTATTTTGACAAGAGAGGTAAGTGGGAACAATTTTAGCCTGTGTAGAGAAACCAGCAAGCCTTGTAAGATGCACCCGAGAACTCTGTCCCTAGCAGGCAGAGGTGTTGTGTCCGTGTGCCCATAAGTAGCCCCTTTCTCTGCTTCGCCCCAATGCCGTCTCTTGCCTGCCATCACCCTGCACCTGTCCAGGCACTTAGGTCAGCAGCTAGTGCATTTTTCCAACAAGTTGACATCCGCAATTTCCTTTCTACAAGGTTCATAACTGGAGAAGCTGACTTTTTTTTTTAAAGCCATTTGCTGAGGCTTATCAATATACTGCCATTTTCCTTATGGTAATATATATATATATATATATATATATATATATATACATGTATATGCTTTTTATAATTTTATTTTTCAGAAACTGTGGTTTGAACTTGGGGCTCTGCGCTTGCTAGGCAGGCACTCTATGCCTCTGCCCTTTCTGCTCTGGTTATTGTTGAAATAAGGCCTCACTGTGTGCCTGGCCAGCGGGGGGAATTAGGATCTTGTTTGTGCTTCCTGCCATTGCTGCGAGGATAGCTAGCTCTTGCCACTGTGGTCAGCCATGGCTGTTGGAATGGGGGTCTTTTATATTCTCAACCCCTATTTGTTAGTGAGATGAGTAGAATTTCTCCAAGAAATAAGGTACAATTCATATTTTGATTGAAATATGAATTACCTTTTTCTCTTTTTTTCCCCTGGTCCTGGGGCTTGAACTCAGGCCTGGGAACTGTCCTTGAGCCTTTTTGCTCAAGGTCAGTGCTCTGCCACTTTGAGCCACAGTGCCACTAACTGTTTTCTGGTCATTAATTGGAGATAAGAGTCTTTTGGGCTTTCCTGCCCAGGCTGGCTTCAAACCATGATCTTCAGATCTCAGCCTCCTATTAGCTAGGATTACAGGTGTGAGTCACTAGTGCCTGGCTAATTACCTTGTTTTTAAGGAGGTTATGATAGACACATAAACACAATACTATAAGCTGTCTCATGATCATCTGCTCAAATCCAGCTTTACCTTAAATCTTGCAAACATTTTGCCTGGACTGGCCTTGAATTTAGATCCTTCTGATCTCAACCTCCCCAAATAGCTAAGATTACAGGTATGAACCACAAGCACCCAGAAGCAGACACACATTTGGAAGGTCTGCAGTGGTAGCATTGCCCCACATTAATGAGGGCTTCTCTCCTTGCAGCGGGACCCATCTGAAACAGTATCTGTGAAAGATGTTTTGGCCCGAGCTGCAGCCAAGGGTCTGCTGGATGGAATGGAGTTGGGGAAGTCATCAAAGCGGGAGAAGAAAAAGAAAAAGTCAAAAACATCATTGGCAAAATCTTGTACAACTGAAAGTAATGGCATCCAGATGAAAATTGCAGAGTACCTGAATCGAGAAACTAAAGCAAGTGCTAATCAAGCAGAGACACTATCGACAAAAACAGAGGTGTCCCAGAAACCCCCTACTCAAGGGGGTGTTTCCTCAAATGCCCGAAAACCCCATAAGGCTGCCCCCAACTCTCTGGTGTCCTCAGTAATGAAGACCGCCGGTTCCTCCAGGCCATGTGATCGGCCAACAAACTACTCAAGACACAGACCAGAAGGCAGAGTGATTCCTCTGAAGCCCGTGGAGATCATGTTACCGCCGGTGATGCTGCCGTCTTCCAGCCCCCAGACGAGCAGGTCCCAGCTGCCCACCCAACATTTCTACTATCGGTGGGTTGCACCCAAGACGAGTGGGCCTGGCTACCTCCCCACATCCTCAATCTACAAGAGAGGGGAAAAGCCTAAAGAGAACTTACCCTCTGCCCGACTCGGCCATCCTCGGCCTTGGCTTTGACTGTCCTGTGTTGGTGATGGGCCGGAATAGGTGACATTTTATTTTTTCCAAGTATGGTGTTTCTCAAGGTTTAGACATCACTGCTTAAGATATTCATTTAGCCACATAGTATCTTCTGATGTGATATACCTTCAGAGAATTAGACAGGTAAGATGCAATGATGTACAGGATTATGTGAGCAGAATTTAGACTCGGTGCTGATCTGCTGGGCTGGAGACTGAGGCAGCATGGAACTTGCCTCACTCCTGTGGATTTTCTGCCTCGATAAAAGCTGCAAGTCTCTGCTGATGGCAACCTGGCCTGCCTTCTAGCAGGCTGTCCTCAAACGCCATGTGGGGGGAGGCTTGCTAGCCAGCCCTGATGTCTGCAGAAGTCGCTGGGTTGCTCCCACTGCTCCTTCAGGAACCGGGTGGTTGAAAGAAATGAACCTTTGCAATCACTATCAAGGTCGATTTCTTTCTTGAGTATCACACTGCTCCTGAAACCGGATGCATCAGCATGAACATGAGGGGAGGACGCATGGCCTCCGTGGGGCCTGGCGCGCCGAGGTCACGCACCTGTCTACCCCCAGACAAGGGCTCTCACAGGAACGCTTCCAGGATCTTGAGTAGATCGAGCGTACTCATCCCTCCCTTCTGCCTGTTCATGCCAAATACTGTTGTAAAAATGACTAAGCAATTTTTTTAATCTAAATATGGACAATTCTGAGAAAGGCAAAACTATTGAATACAAGTGATATCTACTGAAGAAACAGATTTCTGATTTGACTCAAAGATCAGGTGATAGAGCAAACTGTACAGGTCATTTCAGATAGCACACAATAATCAAACTTTGGCAAATCATTTCTGATACACAACTAAAACACATTGTAGCACTATGTTAAGATATTAAATGTCAATTTGTCCTGAATGTACTATCCATTGCCTACCAGTAGTGGTATGATCATCATTTGAGTCTCAGTATTTATTATGGCAACAGAAGTTGTTTGATATTGAGTATATTACAAGCATAAATCTTACTTTTAAAAAGTTCATAGACACATTCATAGTTTGGATGTAAAGCTTTATTTTCTGAATTCAGTTGTGTTAGAAGTGTACGTAAATTCCTCAGTGCTCAATTCAAATGATGTGATTTTGGTAGAACAGACACATCTGATCTTAGCGCAAATATTGTATCCTTTATTTGTCACCTGAGGATGTGGAAGGAAAAAATAGCAAATCTCATCCTTGTAGTACTAGTTTTCTTTTAGCTATTTATATTTCCAATCCAGGCACTAGTGGTTCATGCTTGTAATCAATCCTAGCTACTCAGGAGACTGAGATCTGAGGATCACTGTTCAAAGCCAGCCTAGGCAGGAAAGTCCAGGAGACATTTATCTCCAAAAAAACACTCAGAAAAGGCCAGAAATGGTGCTGTGACTCAAGTGGTAAACAACTAGTCTTGAGGAAAAGAAACAGCTCAGAGACAGTGACCAGGCCCTGAGTTCAAGCTTCTGGACTAGCACATAAAAAAATGCATTTCCAGTAAAGTGTGTAAGTGAAGAAAGGGAAGATTTTTTTTATACTTGAGTAAAGCCTCCATTTTAAATCCCTGAAAATTCTTCTTAGGTTAACTGAGTCTTTTAAAGCACAGAACTGGGGAGGTGGAGGAGGATGGCAAATCTCAGCCAACCTGGGCTACATAGTGAGTTCAAGACCAGCCTGGTTTCACAGTTAGGAACCCAAGGGCTGGGGGATGTGGCTCAGTAGTGGAGCACTTCCTTTGCCTAGCATGCATGAGGCCCTAGATCCAGTTGTCAGTACCAAAAGCACAGAAATAGTTTAAATGCTTACCTTATTTTACCAAATTCTCTTTGCCCTAAAATTTCATTCTCTTCATACAAATTTGGCTTTAGAATCCGACACCCTATGTGGGCGGCACAGCTTCAAATGACACTGCTCCATAGGAGGCGACATTGTTACCTTAGGAATCATTTTTTTTTTTTGGAACTGGTTTTTATTTTATTTTTTATTTATTTATTTATTTTTTGGGTCCAGTCGTGGGGTCTGAACTCTGGGCCTGGGTGCTGTCCCTCACCTCTTCAGCTCAAGGCTAGCACTCTACCACTTGAGCCACAGTGTCACTTCCGGCTTTTTTCTTTTTGCTTATGTGGTGCTGAGGAATCGAACCCAGGGCCTCAGGCATGCAAGGCAAGCGCTCTACCACTGAGCCACCTTCCCAGCCCTGGAACTGGTTTTTAGAATCAGGCCCTCACTGGCTCACATTTCCAGCCCAGTTTTTCTTTTTTTTTTAAAATTGATTAGAGATGGAGTCTCCTATTTTTCGTCCCAAGCTGGCTTCAAACTGTAGCATCTCCAGATCACAGCTTCCTGAGTAACTGGGATTATGAGTGTGCACGACTGATGTCTGCTCCAAGGAATCTTCTCTTTTTGTCCTCTTATCCTTACCTCCCTACCCCAGGCTGAAAAATATTCCACTGTCCAAAACTTCAAGATTGTTTTCAAAGTGTCTTCATCACTGTGAGGAAGTAGCGTGGGTGCTTCAAGTTTCTGTAGCAGTGTGGGACTCACTCACCTCCAGAATCTCTCTACAGGTAGCTTGCCATGAGATTCCTGTTTACAGAGAATCTGAATGAAACCATTCAATAGTGATGCTTTCATTTTATTCTCCGAAAGTCTCCTGGGGAGGGCAGGATCAATTATTTAATTTGGCAGAGTAAAAAGGGTAAAACATTATTAGGATGAAAGCCACAGGAGAGAATCCTTGTGAGGAATATTATTTTTTTTGGCGGGGGGGGGGTCCGGTCGTGGGGCTTGAACTCTGGGCCTGGGCGCTGTCCCTCAGCTCTTCAGCTCAAGGCTTGTGCTCTACCACTTGAGCCACAGCACTACTTCTGGTTTTTTTTCTTTTTTGCTTTTGTGGTGCTGAGGAATCGAACCCAGGGCCTCAGGCATGCAAGGAAAGCGCTCTACCACTGAGCCACCTTTCTAGCCCTGGAATATTATTTTTCATTGGATAGTTGAATTTCTTAGAGAAAAGGGTTGCAAAAAAAAAATTAAGCTGCTAGCCTTTTGGATACTCCAATAGCAAATTCAGATTCCAGCCCCTTGCTATTCAGAGTTTATGTTTGTGCATCTCTAGTTTTCACTCTCCTAAGAGAGGTTCTTAGAGGAATGGCAGGCTTCTTTGTGCTGAATTAACTTGGTCCTAGAAAGACTGGCTGTACTAGGGCTGGAGACCCAACGGGCTTCCATGTCACCATACCAGCTGCCTTTCCTGACCACCAAGTAAGGACAGGGCAGTTACCACCAATTTAAAGTTACTTCCCAGTTCTCACCAGATGGGAAGATGCAAGCACTTAATCCAAACAAAATCTTACGTTACTAAATTGATTTCTAAAAAGTTTAATTTGAGGTCAGAATAATACAAAAATAAGATGACTAGAGACACCACATTTATATTTGTGTTTTTCATAGTAGTAACTGAGTTATAAGATAAATGAGCCAAACATTTTATGAAGCCAAATTTATTTTCACAACATGTTACATTGAAATGTGTAAAAGTGATCAACAGTAAGATGGGGAAAAGAAAAGGAAGCGTCGGACAGCTGCAGTGGCCACTAGGACCACTGGGTGGCGGTGTGATGGCTTTCCTGGCCAGGAACACCTACGTTAGCTGTGTACGAGGTGAAGCCTGGTCCACTAGCGTGCTTTATTAAGTTGTGCCAGTAACGGGGAAATGTTTTTCCTAGGGCTCATGAAATCTTGGGTTGTGATGCTTACAAGTGTGTGTACAGGTAAAGGAAGTTTTGGGGGTGCTAGTGATGGCTTTGTGCAGAATATTCTTACAAGCGGATTAAAAAAAAAAAAAAGCAGTGCCAAGAATTTATCACCAAGAACTTGTTTTAATGGCAGTGGGTCTAATGTTCCTGCATGCAGTCAGACAAACAAAAACAATGGCTCCAGTTAGCTATGGGTGGAAAGCAAGATGGTATCACAGAGGTTGTGAAGGATATAAAAAATCAGCACCGCACAGTGCTTAGTCTGGAGAGTTCTCAGCCACAGGACTGTTGGCTTGGTGCTGCCAAGAAGCACTTAGATGAGGCAGCACGACTATGTCTAGCTAGTGGCTTTTAAAAAATAAAAGGACCTGGAAGAAGCATTTTGCCTTTTCTTCTACATATTCAAATAGAAACGTGACTACAAAGCATTACAAAACCACCATTTAGGCAACATATAGTTCACTGAGATTACTTAGATTTGGATACACTGTGACAGTAATTCTCAGTAGAGATAATAATTACATTAACACAACAATGCAGTATATTTCAGTAAAAATAGAATAAATAAAATAAAAATATCTTAAGCTGTATTTAACAAGTTAATTAACAAATGAGAGGACATACAAGGCAAAGAGAACATGGCTGCCTGTTTACCGAATCACAGATATAAAGAATGCATAGATAACTGAAGGGTCACTAAGAGCTCAAGTAAAACACTGGCATCCTTTCACAAACACACACACACACACACATATACACATACACACTTTCACACTTACTTTTTTGGCCATGGCAGAAAGTATCTGAACATACTGTTTAACATAATGAATTTTACAAAATTAACCTGCATTTAGTATGCAAAGCTATTTTCCAAAACAAATCTGCAGTAAAGTTCCTAATATGTAAAGGCTATCATTCATCTTACTGCATCCTAAAATTGCATATATAAATTAGTTTGCTACTTAAAGCTAGATCAGTATCCTTGATCCTGAAAACAAACAAACAAATGTATGTCTTAAAAAAATGAATGGGGTTCTGGTAGAGATTTCCTGCAGCAAAGTGGATTCCTTGTTCAGTTTTGAAGTCTTAATCACACTACAGCGTGTCACTGTGGAGATCTGGAGGATCGCGGTCACTGAATTTTTAATAGCTTTTCACAGGCTTTCATGACGCAGTAACTTCTCATCATGTCACAGGCCACTCTGCATAGAGTACTATGCGAGTTGCTGTGAAGTATTGGATTTTTAAAAATTTTTATTTTATTGTAAAGATGCTGTACAGAGGGGTTACAGTTACATGGAAGTATGGGATTTCAAAAGGAACATCATTTTTGTCATGACATTGGATCGCCAGAAAACCCTTCCAGCGCAACAAGCAGAAGGCCTGCCACTCATCCCGTTGCATTGACTGGCGGCAAAGGGCCATGTGTCAGGAAAATCTCTACCACAACCAGCATCATCTCAGACAACCCCACAGGTTGGGACAGGCTACTGGGTGCAGATATCTGTCCTCTGTAGCACCTCTGAGGCACACTGCAGCATACGGTTCTGGACTTGGACTGGATGGGGTGTGTAGGATTCACGCGGTGTATGATTCACTGCAGAACAGACCCATGGAGGGAACTCTGAGATGGCCTGACTGTGTGTCCACATGTGTTCTTCCTGGCATGTGTGCAGGCGTTTGGAAAGGATATTCCTGACTGACTGGAGGCGGCACCACACAGCAAGAGCTGGGAATTGTGGGTCCGAGTTCTGCCTCTCTAATGAGCTTTGGTGAGATCTGGGCCAGCGGACTGAACCTTCTGGTACTTTATATTTTGAGTGCTCCCATGTATTTGGTACCTTTCCTACCCTGTAAGGCTCAAATGTGGAAAGAATGTGGAAAGCATTCTGACAAATACACAGCAGTGTGAAACGTAAAGCACTACTTTCAGAACTGGATGTTGTAAACGTTAATTTTGACAGGAAAAAGCAAAACTAATATTAGGATCGATCTCCTTAGTAACTTCTTAAGACAACAATGTCAACTAGAGTCTAAATTTGTGCACCGTGTAGTAAGTTATCTACATGAAAAGAAGCAGGAAAATGGCATTTGAGAGAAACTGTTAAGTAGTCCGTTATTCCTAGGTATATTTTTCTCTGGTATGAAAACTTGTAAGTCTTGAAAGTAAAATGGAAAAACAATACAGTGTAGTTAGTTAAGTCCAACAAGCTCTAATATTAAGTACAGAAATCTGAGAAAGGATCAACTTAAAGGTAACCAGTTGCCATGGACAATACATGATGGGCAGACAGCTCTCTGGACAGAAAAGCACTAGAGAAACTTAGGCTAGAAGCACAGTTCTGGCAGGACCACTGCTAGGCTGCACACTAACACAAACCACGTGTTTGTGAAAACCTAAAATAATGGTGTATGACAGAGATATGAGGGGTGTTTCCTCAACTCCAAATTGCATATTGGCTAGTTACCCAACTAAGGATGAAAGGTTTATGAGGAGTATTTCCTTTTTGTGTTTGGATAGAGAATGGCCATAGTGAACAATCTAGAACAATCTAGAATTTCTCTAGCTGCATTGTACAATGTAAGGCAGAGTTTGAAACATGTCCCATCCCCCCAAAATGCATGATCTTGTTAGTTTCTCTGTAAAATAATCGGTTTGAAAACCATCTGAAGAGAAAGGCTATGTTTTTTTGCTTGATTTTAATTCATCAAATTTAGTTCTTTTGAAATCATTTTGAAAGGTTCACTTTTTTTTTCTAACACTGCCCCCCACCCCCACCCCAGACAGCTGTAGACATGCAACAGGGTCCCTGTGTCAAAGCGCTCATGGAGGAGGAAAGCTGCCAGCTGCTTTCATACTGATGCCAACAGCCAATTTTTGTCAACCAACAGGTTCAATTTTATGAAAAGCTAAAATCCCAATATATCCTGTTTATACAGCAATTCATGGTAATCTGAGACTCAGTGTCCCAGTGTTTCCAGGGCTGGAAACACTGTTAGTGTTGTGCAACTCAGAGGTGGCTTTTGACATCCAGTGAGGACAGTGAGAAGAGCCCAGGCTTTGCTCGCTCTTGAGGACGCAGCGTCGGTTCACTAGGAGGGGCGTGGCACATTCTTCTCTGTGTGTGCACGAGGTCAAACTCACCATATTTACAATAAGAAAAAGACCTTCCACTGCTCATGATGTAACTGACTGACTGCAAATAAAATTACTCATGCTTCTTTTCCTATCATGTGATGGTGGCAAGACGAGAGAACATGCTTGTCTAACACTGGTGAAGGATGAATTCTCTGGAGACACAGCATCAGCCGCTGGATGGAAGGCCGGGGTTTGTTCCTTTCCTTTAGTGGAGCTATTTCCCTCAGGTCATGATGATGAATCCTTTAAGGTAGCAGCTACGGCGTTTCTGTGACAGGACGTTTCTGTTTGAGAGTGTCAATGAGGGACAGCACCCCTCGTTTTACATTGGTTGTGACTCTTCTGGTCACTGAGTCTGCTGGCGGAGGAGGCGGCCGCACTTTTTGGGAAGGTGGCCTGGCTACCAAGCACTTCTGATAGCGTAACTGAAACATACACACAGAGAAACAATTGGGTAATCCATCACGTATTCCTTCTTAGTTAATAGGTCTGCAGTTCATCACTCACACATGCAACTCTTCAAAGTTAGTGACCTGACTACTAAACATAAATCCAAGACTTTATTCTTTCTTTTTGGGTCCGGTCGTGGGGCCTGAGCTCTGGGCCTGGACGCTGTCCCTCAGCTCTTCAGCTCAAGGCTAGCGCTCTACCACTTGAGCCACAGCGCCACTTCCGGCTTTTTTCTTTTTGCTTATGTGGTGCTGAGGAATCGAACCCAGGGCCTCAAGCATGCAAGGCAAGCGCTCTATCACTGAGCCACCTTCCCAGCCCCCAAGACTTTATTCTTAATGTGGGTGTTTTAAATTCTGAAAGATCATTAGGCTCAGTGAAGATGGTTTTTGTCTTTTGCCCTCTTTCCTTCCCTCCACGCTCCTCTTCTGCTTCTCCTTTGTACTGATAGGCTGCAGTGGTTCAGTGAGCTACTGACAACAAAGGGTCAGGACAGAGCGAACGATGTGTGGAAAGATGGCAGGTGAAAGAAGACACAATTGGAATACACACACATCACTGTGAGCCGCGTTACCCCAGGCAGTGAGTACACCTCTTGCCTCTCCAATGAAAATGTCCGAAATGGGGCACTCCAAGGGAGGGTGCTGTAATGTACATGCGCAAAATGCCTGGCAATGTCAACCTGGCAGTGTTGTTCCTGCCCCTATTTTTTGCTTTCATAGAAAAAAAAAAAACGATGTACTGGAATTTCAGGACACATTTTATAATTCACCTAAAAATCCCAGTGGATTAATTTTTTCAAAATCCATTAGCAGCAGCACCATGGACAACTTTAGTTCTTCAGAAATACAACAAAATACCAACCTGCTTTTGTATCATTGAAGGATAGCACATTCTTCAGTATTAAGTGAAAAGGTTAAAATTCATCACCTTTTCCCCCTCTTACCTAAGCCCTTTAAAGTAATTCTACAACCAATTTTTAAAGATATCAACTGGGCACAGGTGGCTCACACCTGTATTTCTAGCTACTTAGAAGGCTGAGATCTGAGGATCATGGTTTAAAGCCCACCTGGGCAAGCAGTCCATGAGAGTCATCTCCAATAAACTACCCCCCAAAAAGCTGCAAGTAGCGCTATGGCTCAAGTGGTAGAGTGCTAGCCTTGAGCAAAAAAGTTCCACAGGCATCTTGACAGGTCCACATCAGCACACACACATCTAGAGCAGGAATTGATAGACAAGCAGGAGACCCTGGACTTGGAATTTCAAACTAGTCTGTAGGTAGAGCATCAATCCAAACTGTACCTAATTGATGACTTTTATAATGATTCTTCTTTGTCCTGCTCTAAATTCCACTTGGCCCTCTACTGGATCATTGTAAAATATGTCTTAAAATGAAGTAGAAGCAAAAGAATGTGTAATACTAGCTACTCAGGAGGCTGAGATCTGAGGATCCTGGTTCAAAGCCAGCCTTGGCAGGAAAGCCCATTAGATTCCTATCTCCAATTAGCCATCAAAAAGCCAGAAGTAGTGCTATGGCTCAAATGGTAGAGTGATAGCCTTAAGCATAAAAGCTTAGAGACAGTACCCAGGACTCAAGTTCAAGCTCTAGGACCGGCACACATACATACACAAATGTGTTAATACCATATTTCAGATAGAATTAATTCAGGCATATTATAGATGGAGAATTATGCAGATTTGAATCAGGAAGCCAACCCTTGGGTTAGAAAGACTGGATTTATCCAGGCACCAATGGCTCATGCCTATAATCCTAGCTACTCAGGAAGCTGAGATCTGAGGATTATGGTTGGAAACCAGCCCAGCAGGAAAGTTCATGAGGCGCTTATCTCCAATTAACTACCAGAAAGTTGGAAGTGGCTCTAAGTGGTAGAATGCTAGCCTTGAGCAAAAAAGCTCAGAGACAGTGCCCAGGCCCTGAGTTCAAGCCCCATGACCGACAAAAAAAAGCTGGCTCTAGAGCAAGGGAAGGGTGCTTGGATTTTATCCAAAGGCCTTACTCTACAATGACAGTTGCATTAATACAATGAAAATAGAAGGCAAACCAGAAAAAAGTTGTTTCCAAGAGGGAAGATTAGCCTGGAAATCTACAGACACACCATAGCCAGTGCTAATTATTTAATTGTTAGCATTTAAAAATTGTATAATGGAGGCTGAAAGCCATTCATTTTATAACACAAACCATCTGTTACGATGCATTTTGATTGCATAAAATAGTCATTATCCTCTTCTGCTTGACGGACGCCTTCCAGTGTCTACTTGCCTCCTGCAGCACTTTCACCCCTCCTACCCTACCCCTGGTTTGTAGGTCCGCTGGACTCCTGGCACTCCATTGCGCCTCCGCCCCAGTCCTGCTCCTTCGTACCCAGTGCATGAGCCTTGGGACCCTGGATCCACAGCTCTGGAGCAGAACCACCTCTCTAATGGGGCTGTGTGTGCGGGGAGCCAGAGCCTGGTGTGAGCAGCCCCCTTCCCTTTCTCCCTCCCCACCATGCCAAAGGAGTCTTACAAAAACCAATCTGCTCTCTTTTCCTGTTCCCCACCATCCCCACCTCTTACTGTTTCCTTCTCCTCATTCTCATCATAGCTGTGTGAAACAAAAAAACCAACCCCAAACCAACCAGTAGGCACAAACCAGAGAGCTCCTACTTTCCACCCTCCGGGGCACCACCTTTGCTGATTAGCACCTTCCGGTATGTCTGAGCTCTGCGTCCACTCTCCCTTTGGCAAGGCCACGCTGCCACTAATCCTCCAGCTGGATGACTGAGACCTGTTCTGAGGCGTGTCCTTCCACAGTTAGAACTGGTGTGAACACCCCAGTGGATGTAACAAACCCAGGCGGTGGAGCCACTACCCATCTGGGCTGTGTGCTGGAGCCCCTCTCTCCCAGGCTACATGCCTGACCAGCAGCTCCCTGAATGCTGTAGGCAATGATCACATAATGGCAACCATTTGTGTATCTAACCGTTTGTAAATGGAGAGTAAAAACATGGTATAAAAGGTAACTAGAATACCTGCGTGGCCCACTGGCCATGACCTGAGCGTGCAGGCTTGGCACTGCGGTGTGTGCTCAGTGAGTGAGGAGTGGATATGACGGCCGGGCAGAGTCCTGGCAATTGCTGCAACTTTACGAACACCCTACACTTGAGCTACGCTACAGCTATACACAGATTCTCTTCAATAATAAATCAACCTTAGCCTACTATATTTGTTTTGCTTTCTAAACTTTTTTTTAAACTATCTGAGCCTTTAGTAATAGCACTTAGTTTAAAATTCTCTATTCAGTGCCATTATAGATCAGGAATATGGTGTGGGGTGGATGTGTGTGACCCCCACTTCAGTCCAGCTCCTGGTCTATTTCCTTCAGTCTAAGAAACTGTTGATATCTAACCTAAAACCAGTCAACCAGCAGACCTGCCAGTTGCCTGAAGAGACCCTCCCGGTTCCCTCTCAACCAGTCCCATCCCTTCATTTCTAGCTTCCTATACTATGACAGGATTCGGGGTTATGTGACTCACCCGTCCCTGTGCAGCCCTCCCACTGTCCTCCCCCATCTCTGAGCTGAATTCCTAAACAGGATCAATTCACGGCCTGAACAAACCTCCGGTGAAGAGACACAAACGGTGGCACGAGGCCCCTAGCCATGGTGACAGCTCACCTCCCTCCACTTCTCCCCGAGACCCTGCTTGCTATGCTCCACTGCACCATGGACGTTAGGCCTAGGCTCCCACAGTCACCCTCTCCTCCTCTGTGAGACAGGATCACACTATACGGCTGAGGTTGGCCTCAAACTTGTGATCCTCCTGCCTCAGCCTCCCAAGTGCTGGGATTACAGATGTGTAGATCATATCTGGCTTAGTTCCCTTACCATCAATAAAAGTTTTTCAGAGCCTTCAGTGCAATGAATGAGAGAAGATTTTTATTTCTATTCACATACACAGTGAAGTGCCCTGGCTTTGTTACCCTGCAGTGCGGGGCCGATCCCAGGTGCTGGCATTTACCCATGTGGTACCTGGTGGACCACTCTAAATTCTCTGAGCCTCTGTTCTCCTAAAGGCAACACTGCTTACTACTACCTAACAGGGTTGTTGTAAGGATGAGTTAAAAGCTATATGAGCACAATGCACCTAAACCAACTATTTGAAATAAAAAATCACGTGGGACAGTTTACTTCCAAAGTCTCGAGCTGAGTGGTGCTGTGGCTCAAGTGGTAGAGCGCTCACCTTGAGCTGAAGAGTTCGGGGACAGTGCCCAGGCCCAGAGTTCAAGTCCCACGCCCAACAAAGAAAAAAAATCTGCAAAGTCTCGAGCTGAATGCAAATAGTAACAACTCACATACGACTAGCATTTCATCCTGAGATCAGCTTGGGCCAGAACAGGTCATCCTCAGATCTGCAGCCTGGAGGCCCATCCTGTACAGCATTAGCAGACTCACCACAGAACATGGCTCTGTCTGGCCTCGCCCAGTGTATGAGCCTCAGACTCATGAAATGCAAACTTCTTGTTAGGATCAGGATCAGCTCTTCCGCAGGAATGAGAGCGGGGTAAAAATCGCACAGGACTTTACATACCCCCATTGTTTTCTTCCTTGACATCTGCTGTTGTGCTCTCATTTCTGGGGAGGCCTACCTCACTGTGGGGGTCACTCACCATGCAGGCGGCCTGGACGGCCTCTGACACATTAGCGGCATTGGGCTCGCACCAGAACACGTGACACTCGAAGCACTGGTTCCCAGCATCCATGATGAAGGCAAACGTATGGACGTCCTTCCCGACTCCCATGAAGGACAGGAACCGCACCCGGCACTCCACCAGCACGTCCTCTTCATTCTGGAAGACACGTCCATCACTGGCTCGAGGCCAGGCACCAGGTGCCGGGCCGTGCTTTATAGGCAATGGTCACCAGAACAAACCGCACACCCAGCAGAGAGGACCTTGTATAGGCAATATGTCCAGATGAAATCAGGAAAGGACTGTGTCTTCCTAGAGAGGTAAAACAACCTAAATGCTGAGGCCACCATGATGGTGGGCTTCTCTGTCTGGTGGCTTGTCTTGCTGTGAGCTACACTGCTGCCATAAGAGGTGATGTAGGTCTGGTTCTCTCTCCACTGTACCCCAAGTCTGCGAGGTCATACAGACTTCTTACATACTCCCCAATATAGGTCACCCAGTAGCCCAAAAGCTATCTGCCCAAGGTAGCTCCAAAGGGCTTAAGAAGAGAATTCCCTGTCTCTTCATCTGCCCCTAACCAGCCACACTGAATTGCATGTCTATTAAAACCATGTAAAACCAACAAATTGACCAAACCAACCCATTTGTCAAATCATCTCCCTCCCATTCTACAAACTAACACCCATAAGAGGCAGCATGAGGAAATGTCTAGAATTCATTCTTAGGATTGCAAAAGATAGTATCCTTTGCAATAACTCTATGTAATGTCTCAAGTGGTCAACATGTCCAGATGGCCAACATTCAGATGTGAACATCCTGACTTACTAAATACACCATCAGGTGCGAGAGCAGACTTGGCAGGCAGCCCGCTGCCTGGTCTAAGTGGCCAGGAGGTTTTGAGGCAGATGCTGGAGTTAGGATTTGGGTGAAGGATGGACTGGCGGAGGGGCGGCGCATGGAAAGAGCAGCGCTGTCATACAACAAACTTGAGGAATGGAAGAAAACTCCAGTATACCTCCTGGAGAATCAGGAAGGTCAGTGACCCGTTCATAGAGATACTGAAGGTGATCTATCATGGTAGAAGAAGGGCAGGCTGATGACTTGAGGCCTTTCTAGGACAGGTGCTTCATAAGGTGTGGAGAGCTGCGGGAGCCGCGACCAAAGACGGCTGCAAAAGCAACATTGTAGCTAAAATGGCAGGGCTGCGTGGTGCGGCTGCGACCTAAGATGGCGCGGGCTCCCACCTTCCGTCTTCCCCGTGACGAGTGCTCTCTGTAAAAAACAACTCCTTATATGGCTATGACTTGGCTCCTAGTTTGCTTCTGTGTTTGCAGCCCTATCGGTATATGCCACATGGCGCTTCAGGATTGGCCATCCAGGAGGCTTATAACCGGAGCGCGGGGGTGGATGGGAAGGAGAAACAAGGAGAAACAAGGAGAAGCAGGAGAAACAGGAAGAAGCAGGAAGAAGCGGGCAGGAGAGAAGTAGGAGAAAAGAAGCTGTAAACAAGGTCCTGAATAAACCGTCTGAAAGAAGGACCTGTTGTCGCGTCATCCTTGCGGGTCGAGGCGGTCGCGACAATAAGGCACCTTGAAAGTCTGGGTTAGACTGCCTGGTTTGAAGCCTGGTCCTATACTGTGTGATGCTGGGTAAGTTACTTCATCTCTCTGTCAGTTTCTTCAAAGCACATAGTAGGATAACGAGGATTGAGAATAATGCTGTGTTCTGTTAAGTTGACCAATGATCTCTTTTATTCCTGATGGTACAAATCACTAGGCCTCTCTAACAACCCCAGCCAGCATGGTCTACAGGGACTGGCCAGACCTCAAACCCATGAGTAGGCTACAGCTAGGGACACACAATCACCACCAGCAAACAAGCAAATGAGGAAGATAGAATCAGGATCACCAAACAAAAAGGCTCCATGCCCAGAAGAAAGCAGAAGTGTACACAGTTTTGACTGACATGAAGGCCAGGGTCTTTTATGAACGAGGGTCATTTCAGTCCCAGGTAAGCACAACTCTGAATAGCTCAAGCCGTGGTGTTTGTTCTGTTTCATGGAAGACCATGATATCCAAAAGTTTCCTGTAGCCCCAATGGGCCAGTGTGGCCCACCACCCCCGCTTACCTTCTCACCAGTAACTGTCACAGTGGCATCGGCCACATTCATGTTCACCGATGGCCAATCTTCCTTGTTAGATGAGGTCATGAGATTTTCTATGGCACTATTCAGGGTGTCCATGCCTGTCAGGGGAAAGCGTGATCAAAGAAGGTCCTGGAGTGACAGACCACTCCTGAATGCAGGCCTCACCACCCAGGCCCAGCTATATATATATATATATATATATATATATATATATACACCCATCTTTGTCCTGAACACAGGCCCCTTCATCGATTCATGCTCATGTATGCACAGAAGAAACAAAATGGCTGGATTTCTAAGGGAGAGGAAGCCTAGGAGTCTCTCCAGGGGCACAGTGCCATTCGTTCTGTCTAGGATACTTGGTATACTAAGCTCAACCTTGCTCCAAAGATTTCTTGGCTCTGAGGGTGTGACCAGTCCTCAACAAGTGCTGCCTTTGTCCAAGCAGAGGGGCCTGGAGAGGAGGACCCAACAGAAGTCAGCACGTGCTAGCTGACCTTCCTTCATCCTAGGGAACATTTTTTTAATAAGGCCAGGTCCCTCACCACTTGGACATAAGTAGCAAATATTATTCAATGGGGGTGTTTTGCTGGGTGTTCCTACAGGCTTTTTTCTGGGCTGGAAGAGTAACCACTTTATTCCAGTGTAACTCACACAAGATTCACTTCCAGTGTAAAATTCATTGATTTTAAAATCTTGCATCTTTTAGGAGCCTCATCCAGCCCCTGGCTACCATACATATGTTGTCTCTCTGTCAGAGATTTGCCTGCTCTGAAAAATGCACATAAAGGGCGTACGCCATCTGAGGCTGGCTGTGACTGACTTCCTTCCCTTAGCTCAACGTTTTCAAGGTTCACTGGAGTCTTGCAGTGCTTCAATACTTCATTGCATTTTATTACCAAATAACAATTCCATTATCTACAAGTAGCATGCCTGATTTGCCCATCTGTCAGCTGATGGACATTTAAATTGTTTCCTTTTTTTTTGAAGCAAGTATGAATTTCTGTGAACAAGGTTTCAGATGGAGAGATGTCTTCCTTTCTCTAGGGTGTATGTGCAGGACAGAAGTGTTGCCACATCGTCTCTCTCCGCACTCCCCGTCTGCCCCACCCCCGCCCATCCAGCACATGAGAGTTCTGATTTCTCCACAATCTTTTCTAACCAGGTCAAAGGTCCGTTGCCCAACCCCTCTTCAGCCCCACTTGAAGACACCAAAGCCCCTCACAGGCTGTGACTACACATCTCAGGACTGCTGGGTCCCTGTAGGTGGGAGTCATGGGTCAAGCCTGTTTAGCTTGCCTGCAAAGATCACTTGTACTCTGACTGGGGGCAGGGATTGCTTTACAAGAGGATGAGGAAGTGACAACACACCTCAGCCAAGCGCTTGCAGAGCGGAAAGATCCAAGTTTTACTTACCGACTGGTCTGTCCACAGGTAACATGCCCAAGTACTGCACGTGGAACTTCTGGACCAGCTCAGTCTTTGGTGTTGGGAAATCTACTACAAGGAACAAGAGGGATGCGTAGCTCAGGGTTGCAGCCACCACTTGGCAGCTGGGAGGTTCACAGCACCCCAGGCACGATGGCCTCCTTCGGGATGCTCCATAAGAACAGTCAGGATCCTAGTCAACTTTTACCTCATGCCTGCTTCTAGGCCGGGCGCCGGTGGCTCACGCCTGTAATCCTAGCTACTCAGGAGGCTGAGATCCGAGGATCGCGGTTCAAAGCCAGCCCAGGCAAGCAAGTCCATGAAAATCTTATTCCAATAAACCACCAGAAAACTGGAAGTGGCACTGTAGCTCAAGTGGTAGAGCGCTCGCCTTGAGCTGAAGAGCGCTCAGGCCCAGAGTTCAAGCCCCACGACTGACAAAAAACCCAAAAAACCAAAAAAAACCCTGCTCTGTCTCTCTGATGATCACGAAGAAGCAGCTTTTGATTACCTGTCTGTTGTATGTGGCTGATGCTCAGAGTCCAGTCACAAAGGGTAGAGACACAGGAAGAATAACTAGAGATCCCCCCAAACCAAAAATCCATGTCCTTACCCAATCCATGCATGTGAGTTATACAACACCACTAACAACTATCTATAATCTTGTCCAACAGCAACAAAACTAGCCAGCCCTTGGCACCTAACACTCCTGGCACCAAACCAACTCTGGGGCCTTGTGGGATCTCACATTTGTGGGTCTGAGTGTGCTTTTTAGAGAAACTCATAACACTAGAGAACCACCCAAGACCGCGGTGTCTTGCCAGGATGGAGACGCCATGATGGGGGGACGCAGCTGACCTACCTTGCAAAGGGACGTCCAGGTTCACGTTGGTCCTCTCCTGTAGGGAGCTGCAGGCCAGGGCTTTGGCATTCTTCCTTTCGGCCATAATCTGGAGATGAAGGATCCAGCACAGGTGGTTAAAGGCTCTCACGTGTCTGGCCAGGACAGCCAGAGTCTGAGTTGATTTTATTCTGACTTAATTTAGCTTAAATTATTAGCCTCATTGTGATTACTGTGTCTCTGGACTACGTAGCTTTTTTTTGGCTGGGGCTTGAACTCAGGGCCTACGCACTGCCCTTACGCTTTTTTTGCTCAAGGATAATGCTCTACCACTTGAGCCACAGCTCCATTTCCTGCTTTTTGGTGGTTAGTTGGAAATAAGAGCCTTAGGGACTTTTTCACCTGGGCTGGCTTAGAACTAGAATCCTCAGATGTCAGCATCCTGAGAAGCTAGAATTGCAGGTGTGAGCCACCAATGCCCAGTTGGACTAGATATTTTGATGAGAATTTTATTTTCTCTGGGGATAGGCAGTGAACTGTTTCTCAAGGTAACTGTCCCTTCATTGTTTGGAATTTATTTCTTCCATTTACCAGGCTCCTGCCTTTGCTGAAAACCATCCCACATGCCTGAGCCGGGGACTCCCCAATGGTCAGTGGGATACAGAGTAGCAGACTTCCTTGTGCTCGTATATGCTGACATGTACATACTCTTTTCAGGGCACATAGAGTATATGGGTTCAAATTCTACCTCTGCCACTTATTAGCTATGAGACCTTGGGCAGGTTATCTGACCTGTGTGTCTCATTCTCTCAACTGCATATGAAGTGACAATAATATTTAGGTCACAGGGCAGTTCTGAGGATTAAAGGAATATGTCTAGCAGTTGGCAGGCTCAGTAATGTCAGCTGCTATAATATCTCAACCCCTAGTCTAAGCTTTCCATTCATGGTAACAAAGTCACTCCTGGGTTAGAGGCATGGCTCAGGTGGTAGAGGGCCAGTCAATGAACAAAAGCGTCAGATACCCAGCTCGAGTCCTGATTTTGGGGAAAAAAAAAAAAAAACCAAAACCAAAAATCACTCCCAAGCTCCACTGAGCCTAGCTCTCCAGCTCTGTGTACTGGACAGAGCCAGTGGCTCCCAGTGTAATCTTAGCTACTCAGGAGGCTGAGATCTGAGGATCGCAGTTCAAAGCCAGGCTGGGCAGAAAAAGTCCATTTATCTCCAACAAACCACCAGAAAACTGGAAGTGGTGTTGTGGCTCAAGTGGTACAGTGCTCACCTTGAGCTGAAGCGCTGAGGGACAGTGCCAGGCCAGAGTTCAAGCCCCACAACCAAAAAAAAAAAAAAAAAAGCCACACTATTGCTGACATGTAGTATGTAGTTATGTCTACATGGCTGTGTCTGCATGAGGCATGGACAGAGTTTTCTCTTTATTTTCTAAACAATACAGCTTAATAATAACTTATCCAGCATTTGCATTACGAGTTATGAGTAATCTCAAGCTGACTTAAAGTATAAAGCGGATGTGTGCAGGCTGCATGCTCTGATGTCACATGGTATCTGTCCAAGGACACTGGCACTTGCTGAGGTTTGGCTACCAATGCCTGGTAGCTTTGAAAGGTCCCTGGGCTGCATAGCACTATGCTCACTTCTTCCTAAAGCAATGTGCAGGGCAGCTCCCAGCCTTTGCCTTCCTTTACCAGCCTGAGCAGTGAGACGGAAGAACCCAATGGACCACTGTCCAGGACCTGCCTTACCTTGGAACAAATCTCGTGAAGACTCGTGGCGATGGCTTTGGCTGGTGTGTCACATCGAAATACATGACATTTCAAAATTCTCGTATCTTTGTCTCTTGCTACATAAGCAAAGTCCCTGTGCAAATGAAATTCATCAGGGCATTAGACAAAAGGAATCTCTTACCAACCTTCTCTAGTTACGAACATTCACGGAGCTAGCAGCAGTATGGCAGCGGTGATGATTTATTTGGAAAACAAAATTTCAGCAGCTACAGAGGCACAGGTTTATGGATGTCAGGAATTCATTTCTACATCGCTACAGTCTCCTGAATGAGTACTGAACTGTGCAGAACCTTTCCATACAGCGTAATAACAGACATGATTATACAACAGAACACATGCTCGGGGAGATTTTGGACTGCATGAGTGACAGCGACAGACATGGCGGACGAGAAGCACAATAGGCTCTGATGATGAACACGTGCACAGCGGATGGGCCAGCCCACAGCTGCTTGAGAAAGTTGATGGGCAATAGGATGGCAGAGACCCCGCGGGCTGCAATCCCACCAGCAGTGCCTGATTCTGCCAAACACTTCCCTGCTCCAGTCCTGCATCGCTTGGCTCAGACACCACGGTAAACAAGTGGCCAAGGTTGGATTCTAGCTCGTGCTTTATTGATGAAAGGGTATCCACTAAGATTATGACTTGGCTCCCAAAGAACCCTCTGATAAATTTCTCATGGTTACTCAGTGCTGAAGTGTTTATGAAGAATAAACGCCCAGCTTTACTCACCCAGTCACGGGTCATGATGATTGATGTGCACACGATGCTAAGCTGAGACACTGTTGTGTCAACACAGCTACAGATCTTTGCTTGTTTCTTTTGAGATAGGGTTTCACTATGCAGCTGGGCTGGCCAGAAACTGGCAATCCTCCCTGAGCCTTCTGTGTGCTGGGATTACAGGTGTGTACCATCACGCCAGGCAAATAATTTCACTGTTAAATTGTTACTCTTAATGGAAGAGTGGGTGGTCTTTTCAGATGGACAGGTTCTTCTCAAGATAGTTGTATTTACCTGGAAAGGCAGAGGGAGCTACTCCTGGAGACAGGTGTCCATCTGGAATCCTTAGCCAGAAGAAATGTGGGGTTCAGGTGAGCTCTTTGGTTGGACTTCCTAATCTAGGCTCTAAGCCTGTCAGTCCTCACAGCCTGTCCACCACTGGCCTTGATACCTGCCCCCAACCTCCTCCTGCTTCTGCACAGTACATCAGTTAGGGTCTCCCCAGGAGACCCAATTCCATGTTTGGCCCATCTTACCACCTGGACATCTCCTGAACTGCTCCCCTCACTCCCTCTTTCTAGCCTGGCCAGGACTCAGCATTGTAGCAGGTTTTTGTCCCCTGCCTTTGCTCACACCATCTTCACCCTGCTGCCACTGCTGCCCAGTGAAGCTGAAAGCGAACCCTTTCTCTGCGCTCCCTGGCTTCCTGGACACACGCTATCCCCAGTGCACTGGGCACCAGAGTATCTAGTTTGTCTTCCGTGCACGTTCTCAAAGCTCCACGAAGGAGGTGTGTACCTTTATTCATCCCCAATGCTTGGTGTAGGTTGGGTGTAATAGGTAAGCACAGTTCAGCCCTAGGACTCAGGCCTGTCCACACGCCCCTCACCTGGCCATATGGGTCTGGGTGAGGAGCTACAGACTTTGGGAGGCCCGCCCCTTGAGGGGTGGGTATAGTCTCTTGCTTCCTGTCCTAGTCTCACCCACTATCAAGGCCATACATTCACTGAAAAAAGAAGCAACTCAGGCCTGGCGCTGGTGGCTCACGCCTGTAATCCTAGCTACTCAGGAGGCTGAGATCTGAGGATCACGGTTCAAAGCCAGCCCAGGCAGGAGAGACTGTGAGACTCCTATCTCCAATAAACCACCAGAAAACTGGAAGTGGCACTGTAGCTCAAGTGGTAGAGCGCTCGCCTTGAGCTGAAGAGCTGAGGGACAGCGCCCAGGCCCAGAGTTCAAGCCCCATGACCAACAACAAAAAAAAAGAAGCAACTCATCCAGGTGCTGATGGCTCACGCCTGTAGCCCTAGATACTCAGGAAGTTGAGATCTGAGGATCAGCATTTAAAGACAGCCCAGGGAGGCAAGTCAGTGACTCATCTCCAATTAATCATAGACAAAGCCAGAAGTGGCACAATGGCTCAAGTGGTAGAGCGCTAGTCTTGAGCAAGAAAGGAGCTTGGGGACAGCACCTAGGCCCTGAGTTCAAGTCCTAGGAGCAGCCAAAAAAAACCCCACCCAAACCAAAACCGACAGAACTCATGGTTTTAGGGACCTTGCACCATGTGCTCATGGGAAGTCTGAGTCTCTGTCCCCTCCCTCTTGCTGCACTCACGACCCTGATGCATCATAAAGCGACAATGTCTCACATAAGGCTTTCTTTACATTTCCACTGCCGTTTTTGGAGGCTGAATTTCTCTGAGGCTTCCCAGGGTTACCTATAGGAAGTCCTGGACAGTATTCCCACCAACCTTCCAGCCCCGTCCCCGGCTGAGCTCTCCCTCTGCTCCAGAAGAGGTGTGCTGCCATGTGTACTTGTTGTGGCCCCCACTGCCCAGAGCGCGGCCCACCACGGAGGCCTGCTGGCCCTCTGTCTCATGGCATGTAAATCCAGCGACATAAAGGAGGTGCATTTGGTTACTCAGCAGGGCTTGGCTGTGTCCATCCCAAGACACAAGAAGGGACAGCCAGGACAGAGGTCAGGACTCAGGTAACCCAGTGTCACGTCTCATTCCAGATCCTCTTAGCTCTGTGGGAGGCCATCCCTAATCCCCCAAAGCAAAAGCCAGCACTTCTGGAGCACTGACAAATGCCACAAGTGGAAAATTCCGCAGCATGAAACCTCTCTGTTTGCACAAACTTATTCAAATATTGTGAAAATTCCCTTTAGGTAATGTGAACCAAGCGTGTAGACTTGGATCCTATCCCCAAGATATGTCATCTGTATATGCAAACATTCCACAATCTGAAGAAAGAACAAATCTAAAGCCTTGAACCGCTCTGCTGAGAAGCATCTTGGACCAGGGACAGACAGCCTGTACAACCTTGGACACGGGTTTTAACCTCGTCCATAAATGAGGGGTGACAGGCTTCATTTCCTAGTCCTTCTCAGGCTCACCCACTGGAAGAGACTCTTGGGGTGAATGGAAGTTTCTAGAGCCTCTAGTGTCCCCATGACTGCTAAAGGCTCCCGGGTTACAGCAGCGAAGATGAAACAGGCCTCAGGGATCCCTCCTGTCAGACTTCAGCAATGTGTCCTTTGTTCTTCCTTATGTAGCCCTTTGGGCACTATTTTGAAAATTATTAGTATGAATCTTCATGTTCTTTCAGCGGAGGGTGGAAGGTGATGGACAGCCTGAAGGGAAACCCTTTGGAATCCGCATCTTCCCAAAGGAGACGCTTGGCAGCCTCAGGCTGTTTTGAAAGAGCCTTAGATCTTTTCCTGTTCCCTGTCAGGTATGAGGCACAAGTTCATCAGTCCCTGTGGCTAGCCGAGTAGCCAGCCCTCCTGCAGCTCCACTGGCCTCTCTCTCTCTCTCTCCTGGCTCCTTGGAGGGTCTGCATGCTGCCTTCTGTGCCCCCGAGCCTTCCTGAAACAGCTGAGGTGAACAGGAATGCTGCAGAGCCCTGCCGGGGCTGCAGCATCACATCTCTTTAGAGTTGCTGGTTGCATCTCAGCCTTCCACAGAGTTCAGTGTCAGAGAGATGGGATTCTCTGCCCCACCCAGGTGGCTGGTGGCTCACATACATAGCACATTCCTGGCCCCAAGGATCACCAAGCCACGGCCAGAACAGGACCCCTGTTTTCCCACAGAGTCTTCTAGACCTTTGTCTGAGATGACATTTAGCAACAGGAACCGTTTCTGCCCCTTGCTCCAGCTTACTGCGCACCATGCTGGATGAGGAACCATCTGCCCAACCCTGAGTGGGGAGTTTCATTGCTGAAGCTTCTTCAAGCCAGTAAGGGCGATCGCACCTTTCCCCTTTGATTACTGAGCCTTGGGCTTCCATGCCTTTTGTTCTTGTCCTGCTGCTGCTTTCCCCAGTAATTATTCCCCCAGAGGCTCAGCCTCCAATTCTGCCGCAGAAAAATGTCAGCACTGAGACATCTTTGACAGCCTCAAATTTCTTAATGGCAAAGAAAAAAAAAAAAAGATGGAAGGTTGCTTTCATTATTCTTAGCTCCACAGCACTCCAACTGCCCCACAGGGGCCTGCGCCATCTTTATGGTGAGAATGAATAAACAGTTCTTTACTCAGTTGCGTTCTAGTAAAAATAAAAATGTCCAAGATAGGGGCTGGGAAGTTGGCTCAGTGGTAGAGCGCTTGCCTTGCATGCCTGAGGCCCTGGGTTCGATTCCTCAGCACCACATAAGCAAAAAGAAAAAAGCCGGAAGTGGTGCTGTGGCTCAAGTGGTAGAGCGCTAGCCTTGAGCTGAAAAGCTGAGGGACAGCACCCAGGCCCAGACTTCAGGCCCCATGACTGGACAAACCCCCCAAAAAATGTCCAAGATAGAACAATTTGCCCCTTTTCTTAAGTTTCTCCCCTTCAACTCTCTTAGGGTAAATGGAATTTCCGTATGTTTATTGTTCCTCTATAGGAATTTAAGAAGTGTTTCAGGACTCTTAGCTGTTGTATTGGCTAACCTCCGTCCCTTCCAAGCAGTTCCCACAGGTGGACCCTGGAGGAACTCAGGGGTAGGAAATCCTTTATCCCTAACAAATCAGCCTGACCTGTTGTTGGAAAGGTTCTTTTCTCCTTTCCATCTTAGACTTTCCTTTTTCCTCCCTTTTCCCCAGTAATGAGATTTAAGCTCAGTGTTCTACAATCTTCACCTGTTGGTTGTTGTTTTGGGGTTTTTTTTGGCCTGTGCCAGTCTTGGACTATGATCCACCTCTCACATAGATGGGATGATAGGTGTGTTTTACCATATTTGGCTTGTTCTTTGAGCTGGAGGGGCCTTGCTAGCACATATTCTCTCTCTCTCTCTCTCTTTCCCCCTCTCTTTGGCCTAGGGTGGCTTCAATCACTGTTTCCTGGACAGCTGGGATGAGTTACTGTGCCTTACAATATTTTTCTGAATGAAATACTGACACTTGCTTCTCTGCAACTTTTGCTTGTTGGATATAGCTTTTCTTTCTGGAGAGGCTCAGAACAAGCTGACCTCATCAGCTACACAATGGTCTGTGTGGCTGGCTGTGTCTCTCCCTTCCATAGTTCCTATTAGACTCGCTTTCTCTTCATCTCCGCTGGTGATATTCCTCACCAAGGCTCCACAGTTTGATAACATCTTTCACATAATTTGTATTTGCTCAAGTCAAATACAGGTTTTCTGCAGGGAATGTGTGGAGTCTGGTCCTTGACAGGCACTTGATAAATGGGACTTAACATTACAGAACCAGGAAAAAGAAGTCACACTTTCCTCCCAGCTCATCTGTGGTGGAAGCTGGAAACAGGCAGACTTGTTCCCAGTACACAGGGCTAGGTCCCACCTACAAGTAAGCATCAGGAAGGGGCCTTTCTAGCTCTTTCTGACAAAGGCTGTGCGTTTGCTTTGGATCTGACATGAACTCAGAGGGCAGTCCCTTCCCTTCCCAAGCACTAGGTGATGAGGGCAGCTCATGGCGAGGGGAAGTGGCAGCCAGCCAGGGCAGTCTTTCCACAGTGAGGCCTAGGAAACACTTCTCCTTTACTCTGCAGCCCCCAGCCAGGCAGGGTTTGCCTGACACAGATGCCAGCACAGAGATGCCTGCCTGCCTCTTCCTTATGCCCAGCAATGACCACAATCCGTCCTTGAAGGAGAAAACTCCCCCAGCACCCTTCTTCCATCAAAATGACGGTTTTAGGAAGCGACAGAGCTAGAAGTGCAGAGACTGTAGCTCTCAACAGTCAGGCAAGGGGTGACAGTGACAATGGTGCTTGAGGTCTGTGTCCCTTCCATGGCCACAGTCCCCCTGCAGTGGCGAGGAAGAAGTGCTCCACGCACGGGGCCAGCGGCCCAGTGCCAAACCCTGCAGAACACACCTCCCGAGAACACGTCCTGTAAGCCCTAAGCTAGAGTGTCCCTCAGCATGCAGCGCATGCAACCCGAACATTTCTATCCTGTGCGCTCCCTCCCACGCTCATTCGATTTTTTTCAGCTGGTCCCTCGGCCCATCACCTTCCCCAAACAGGGTCACACAAGCAGAGGATGAGGGGCATTGGTGGTAATGATGGTGATACATGGTGAAACAGAACCAGCTGTGCCTGTGAAAGGCCGGGCTGGCAGACAATGGCGCTAGCATGGAGGAAGCGTGAGCTGCAGACATGGAGGGCGGCGCGGGGTGTTACCTCTCTCTGAATCCGGGCAGGCATGAGGGAACAGAGCAGAAACAACAGTTAGCATTCACACGGCACCCAGTGAATAAGAGCAGCTCCTCAGCACCAGCCCTGTTTTATTTCCCAACTATGCAGCAATTAATAGCCTGCCACTGCTTATTTTAGCCGAACCCTCTCAACCCAGAACAGTGTATTTTGAGCCACATTACGATGAAGCCAAGAGATGCCAGCTGAATTTACAGAGGCAACATATCAACTGGGGGAGGTAAGCGGGCTTAAAATACCCCAGTGAAACACAGGCAACTGCTCACAGTAAACTCTAGCAGACGGCTTTGCTTGCTCCCAAAACAGGGACAGGGATGGGGCGCAGCCTTACCTGCTTGTCAGGCTTTCTATGGGCAGCAGGTGCATCAGGACATATGGGGAGGAGCAGAGATGAAGGGCAAGGGTTGGGGTAGGGAGCAGGGGACAGGAGGTGGAAGCTTGCAGGGGAGGGGCAGATAGGTGATGAAGGCAGGCAGGTGTGGGCAGAGCAGCACATTTTGAGTTCCACCCCCCCCCAGAGCTGCCTGGGGGTCCCTCATTAAGTCCTCTTGTCACAGACAATTGGAGGGACACAAGGGCAGCCTCTCCCCCACCAAGAAAGACATACATGCATAGAACACTTGATTGAAGAGGTGGGGAGCCCAAGATAGATAGAAGGAAAGGAAGAAGTGCAAAATTCCTGGGGAGCTGCTCTCCTGCATCCTGCAGCCAGGGCCCCAAAGGTCCAGCAGGGCCCTGCAGGACAGGAGATGATCCACACAGCAGTGGCACAGAAAGGTAGAGCTGCACACCACATCACAGACAATGACTGTGACATGCCATTACATGAGAGGAAGAAACTAGCACACCCGAGATGCCATCTGAAGTGAAAAAGGGAGTCTCAAGTGAAAAACCACAAGTAAACAGAATTGAGGTTCCCAGGCAGAAAAGTCTGTGTTAGCCTTGAGCAAATTAGCCAAGCGAGAATATGGGGCTTTGAGTTTGAGCCCCAGTATCAGCACAAAACAACAACAACAACAGAATAAAGAAGGGAGATGAAATGCTAGGCATGTCACAAAGGTGCAATGGCCCGCATCATGACCATGGTCACCACGATGTCGTCTAGTGGTTCACATCTCAGCCACACAGTACTGAGTGGTACTGGTGATGAATCATCTCCTGTGGAGGGACCGTGACCTGGAGGAGGGGCAATGGCCTCCCTCCCAGAGGGGAGGTGGTGCTGGAATCCCCTCTGCTCAGTCCTTCTGCATCCCCAAAGGTCCTCCTGCATCTAGGAAAGTCTATCTTCAGAGGAAACCTAGATTACCAGCAAAGGAACCAAAGACTACATGCTAATTGCACAAATCTCCTCATCCTCCAGGAGTCCTCCCGCCTGGGAGGAGAGGCGCTGAGAAGATGCTGGTTCAGATGTCATCAGAAAGTGCTTTGAGAGGAACCAAAAGCTCTCCATTTCTCCTTTTATAAAACTTTTATTTTTTGTTTGTGCTGGTCAGGGACTTGAACTCCAGGCCTCACGGTTCTTCTCTCTCCACTCTCAGATTTGTCTGCTCAGGCTGGCTTTGAACTGCAATCTCAGATCTGAGCCTCCTGAGAAGTTAGGATTATAGATAAGAGCCACTAGTGCCTGGCTTTTTCTTCTGTTTCTTTTTATGCTACTGGGCTTTGAACTCAGGGTTAGTTACGCTTGGTAGGCAGGTGCTCCACTATTGGTGCCACACCTGAGCCCCTGGCTGCCACTCCTCCTTTTTTTGCTTTTTTTTAATTATTTTTTTTTTGTCGGCCATGGGGCTTGAACTCTGGGCCTGGGCGCTGTCCCTCAGCTCTTCAGCTCAAGGCGAGCGCTCTACCACTTGAGCTACAGCGCCACTTCTGGTTTTCTGGTGGTTTATTGGAGATAGGAGTCTCACGGTCTCTCCTGCCCGGGCTGGCTTTGAACCGAGATCCTCAGATCTCAGCCTCCTCAGTAGCTAGGATTACAGGCATGAGCCACCAGCGCCCGGCTTTGCTTTATTTTTTTATTTTTATTTTTTCCAGGGCCTTGCGCGCGCCGGGCGGGCACCCTTCTGCTGGGCTAAACCCTCAGCCCCTTTGCTTTATTTTTAAAAAATAGGGTCTTTATGTTTTTGTTGAAGGCAAAAGACTGAGAACTTCCTACTTCTACCTCCTGTAAAGTGAGATTACAGGTGTGCCCCACCATGTCTTGCTTATTTTTGAGATAGAATCTTCTTGGCTTTTTTTTTTTTTTTGCCTAGACTGGCCTTGAACTGAGATTCTTCCCATATCTACCTCTGGAGAAACTGGGACAAAAGGCATAAGCTTCCATCTCCAGTCCTTTAATTTCTCATTCTTCATATAATGTCTTTGTCTGATGTATGACAAACTTGGCCAAATGGCTCTAAATCTAAAGATCTTAGCATATGATGTGCTTCTTTTGTCTATAACTATTACTTTTTGCCCCATTAGTGGAACTTAAGGAAATAATACTGTTAAATAGCTACTACACCTCCTAATGGCAGAACTCAGAGGGGAAAAAAAAGATCCTGCAAACTGAACATAGTTGGTCCTTTGGGGTTAATAGATACTGTTTAAGTGTCAAAGTGAAAACCAGCCATAAATAAGAGATTTCTAAGGATCACTGAAATGTCATTCAAAATTCCAGAAATGTTGCAGACAGCAGCATTTGCTCTAGTACCTTGCAATGTGCTGGGAAAAACCATCAGACTCAAGCTGCACCTCTACACAAGGCCAGACTTTGTGGGAGCCAACAGGCTAAATATAGTCAGTCACAAGCTTACTGCCTCCTTTCTGTAGGAGGTATCTCAGGGAAGACTTAAGCCCTAAGGCTGATCTCTTGGGAGCCCCATGATCCAACGCTGCCTGTCCAGACTGCTCTCAGATGCTGCTCCTTGGGAAAGCAATGTGGGAAGTGTTGGCAATGATTTCCTTAACATAAACTGTACATAACTACTTGGCATGTTTAACTGGGCATCTGAATGAATAGGAAATTCAAAAAAAAAGGAGGACGAGAAAGAAGAAAGGAAGAAGATGGAGGGGGGAGAAGGGAGGGAAGAGAGAAGAAAAGGGGGAAGGAAAAAGAAAGAGAAGGAGGAAGAGGAGAAGAAAGAATGGAAAAGCAACCCAGAATGACAAAGTCTATCGCAGGCTTCTGGATGGGAACACCACCGAGTCTCCTTCCCTGGCAAGGTCGCCTACTTCTTATGTGACACAGCCATCCACCTTCCTCACACTGAACACACAGGCAAGGCCTCTCCTGGGCTTTGCCAGTCTGCTTCTGCAGAACCATTATGTGCTACATTGTTTGGATGCTTATCTTTTATCCTCAAAGATCTGGGCACAGATCATCATTCATCACATGGCAGCAAAGTACAAAATGTGAAGGTGATGTCATGAAAATTCTCTCACCAGCTCCTAGACCTGACAGTTAATTCCCCCTCTTTGCTTCTTTTCCTCCTTCTGACAGACACAAGCCGTGTATTCTTGGTCAGTCTCTGTTCTGCAATGTCTTCATCTGTACAGTGGGCACACAAGTGGTGCTCACAGCCAGATCGCTGAGAGGACTGCATTCCTGCTGGCCATAGCTGTAGAGGGACCTTCCCTGAGGGCTGGGGTGCAATACTGCAGGAGAGGGGAAAGGTCCACTGAGCTGGGGGTCGGGTGCTCCAAACTGTTCTTATTGTAAGGGTCTAGGAAGAAGGTGCTCAGATCCCCCATTTTCTGCAGTTTTGAAAGAGGATGGAGATGGAAAGGTTCAGTAGTCTCCCAAACTCATCTACAGCTTCCTAGAACCCAGCAGAAATGAAGGACCTTGGAATGTAAATGAGTACTCAATTCTCCACTCCACTTTCAGCCATGGTTGACACCTGAACTGCTGCCTCTTCTGTCTCCCTGCCCAAAGTTCAGTTTGCGTATGTGCGTGTGTGCATGTTCGTGTGTGTCCTTTCTGTCTTCACCACTCAGCATATAAATTTGAGTCAGAATAGCAGGGACACAGGTTCCCTCCCCCATCCGGAGCAGGCTGGTGAGAACCTATGAGAACATGGTGAGCTGGCTGGATTTCTCTTTCTCCCACTGCTGTTTATCACACACAGCACTTTGGAAATGACTTCAGCTCATACTCAGTTTTCATGTCATCTCTAACTACGTTAATAAAACATATATTTCATCGGCATGGCAGGAGGCGAGCTCTGGGAAGATCATTCATCTCTGACGTTCTTTGAGAGCGAAGCCAATGTGCACTGGGATCATCTCCAGTCAAAACGACAACATTGTCTCAGGACCCCTAAGCAGATTCCTTTCTTCAGGACATTTGTCTAGATGAAAAGCAGCTTCTTTGCTCCTAGAAATCAATGTATAAACTTCCCTTGTATATTGATTTCTATCAAGATGTACTGACTCCTGAGATAATTTTCTTTATATCTGTACACCTGAGATCATTTTTTAAAATATCTGTTCCGCTAAGAGGAATTAATCTTTATGTATCACTCCAGGAAAAGACCCAGTGTAACAAACCCTCCCTGTGCTGGAGCTGAGACTGGGGAGAAGACATTAGTAGGAGGTCTCAGGGCACTGCCCTCACCCTATCAGAGGGTACATGGTGAGAAAGAACCAACGTATGTTCTTCCTTTGTAGAACAGCTACTTGTTTATTTTGGTGGTACCAAATATTGAACAAGGCCTTAGGCTTGCTTGGCTGGCACTCTACTACCTGAGCTTATGCATCCAACGCTGTCGTTGCTGGTAATTTTAGAGAGAGAGAGTCCCATAGGGCTTTTTGCCTGGACTTACTTTGCACTTGGATCTTCTGGATCTCAGCCTCCTGAATAGTTAGGATTACAGGCGTGAAACACCAGTGCCTAGCTTAGCATGATTATTTTTACAAGTAGCTGGTCTCTTATGCCAGCATTTTTTCTTTTAAATCAAATGTGATTATTTTTTTTAAAAATCTTAAGAAAA